TAGACATCATGATATGTCAGTTTCTGATGGACTAATGATAGCAAGGTATACTGTTACATTGACATCATGATATGTCAGTTTCTGATGGACTAATGATAGCAAGATATACTGTTACATAGACATCATGATATGTCAGTTTCTGATGGACTAATGATAGCAAGGTATACTGTTACATAGACATCATGATATACCAGTTTCTGATGGACTAATGATAGCAAGGTATACTGTTATATAGACATCATGATATGTCAGTTTCTGATAGACTATTGATAGTAGGTATACTGTTACATTGACATCATGATATGTCAGCTTCTGATGGACTATTGATAGTAGGTATACTGTTACATAGACATCATGATATGTCAGTTTATGATGGACTAATGATAGCAAGGTATACTGTTATATAGACATCATGATATGTCAGTTTCTGATGGACTATTGATAGTAGGTATACTGTTACATTGACATCATGATATGTCAGTTTCTGATGGACTATTGATAGTAGGTATACTGTTATATAGACATCATGATATGTCAGTTTCTGATGGACTATTGATAGTAGGTATACTGTTACATTGACATCATGATATGTCAGTTTCTGATGGACTATTGATAGTAGGTATACTGTTAAATTGACATCATGATATGTCAGTTTCTGATGGACTATTAATAGTAGGTATACTGTTACATAACCCTCATGATATGTCAGTTTCTGATGGACTATTGATAGTAGGTATACTGTTACATACCCGTCATGATATGTCAGTTTCTGATGGACTATTGATAGTAGGTATACTGTTACATAGACATCATGATATGTCAGTTTCTGATGGACTATTGATAGTAGGTATACTGTTACATTGACATCATGATATGTCAGTTTCTGATGAACTATTGAAAGTAGGTATACTGTTACATAGACATCATGATATGTCAGTTTCTGATGGACTATTGATAGTAGGTATACTGTTATATAGACATCATGATATGTCAGTTTCTGATGGACTATTGATAGTAGGTATACTGTTACATTGACATCATGATATGTCAGTTTCTGATGGACTATTGATAGTAGGTATACTGTTACATACCCGTCATGATATGTCAGTTTCTGATGGACTATTGATAGTAGGTATACTGTTACATAGACATCATGATATGTCAGTTTCTGATGGACTATTGATAGTAGGTATACTGTTACATTGACATCATGATATGTCAGTTTCTGATGAACTATTGAAAGTAGGTATACTGTTACATAGACATCATGATATGTCAGTTTCTGATAGACTATTGATAGTAGGTATACTGTTACATAGACATCATGATATGTCAGTTTCTGATGGACTATTGATAGTAGGTATACTGTTATATAGACATCATGATATGTCAGTTTCTGCTGGACTAATGATAGCAAGGTATACTGTTATATAGACATCATGATATGTCAGTTTCTGATGGACTATTAATAGTAGGTATACTGTTACATAGGCATCATGATATGTCAGTTTCTGATGGACTATTGATAGTAGGTATACTGTTACATACCCGTCATGATATGTCAGTTTCTGATGGACTATTGATAGTAGGTATACTGTTATATAGGCATCATGATATGTCAGTTTCTGATGGACTAATGATAGCAAGGTATACTGTTATATAGACATCATGATATGTCAGTTTCTGATGGACTATTAATAGTAGGTATACTGTTACATAGGCATCATGATATGTCAGTTTCTGATGGACTATTGATAGTAGGTATACTGTTACATAGACATCATGATATGTCAGTTTCTGATGGACTATTGATAGTAGGTATACTGTTACATTGACATCATGATATGTCAGTTTCTGATGGACTAATGATAGTAGGTATACTGTTATATAGACATCATGAGATGTCAGATTCTGATGGACTATTGATAGTAGGTATACTGTTACATAGACATCATGATATGTCAGTTTCTGATGGACTATTGATAGTAGGTATACTGTTATATAGACATCATGAGATGTCAGTTTCTGATAGACTATTGATAGTAGGTATACTGTTACATAGGCATCATGATATGTCAGTTTCTGATGGACTATTGATAGTAGGTATACTGTTATATAGACATCATGATATGTCAGTTTCTGATAGACTATTGATAGTAGGTATACTGTTACATTGACATCATGATATGTCAGTTTCTGATGGACTAATGATAGCAAGGTATACTGTTACATAGACATCATGATATGTCAGTTTCTGATGGACTATTGATAGTAGGTATACTGTTACATTGACATCATGATATGTCAGTTTCTGATGGACTAATGATAGCAAGGTATACTGTTATATAGACATCATGATATGTCAGTTTCTGATGGACTATTGATAGTAGGTATACTGTTATATAGACATCATGATATGTCAGTTTCTGATGGACTATTAATAGTAGGTATACTGTTACATCGACATCATGATATGTCAGCTTCTGATGGACTAAGTATAGCAAGGTATACTGTTAAATTGACATCATGATACCGTAAAGCGGGTTATTTTTAGCGGGGTCTTTATTTTGCTTATTTTGGCGGATAAAGGAAAATCGCAAAAAATAAATTCCATGAAAATTTATGTATGCGTTCAATATTTTTTAATAGCTGAAGCGTTTAACAAACAATGTACTTTTTCTGGTCAGTGGGTCAATAAAGGTTTATGTTAGTTTTAACAACATCATAGTATTATATATATTCTATAAAATGGCTGTCAGGTGTTAATTAGTTTATAAGTATCAAATAATATAAGTGTAAGGTACTCTGTCAGATATTTACCCTTTTTCATTAGTGTCAAATTATATAAGAGTTACAAGTCAGTCTTGATTATTTGATAACCTAATTAGTACAAGGTCCGGTCAATTTCGTTACTAATCAACCGTATCATTTACAAGAAATTTGTACATCTAAGCTACCGGTATTCCATTGATTAACTGTATCAATATATAATCAATAAATAAGATGTCATGCAGACAAAATAACATTTTAACTTGCTTGTCAATTTTTGCAACTTTTTAATTACAACCATTTCTGTATCCCCCAAAATATTAAATCGGTATTTAAGAATCCGCCAAAATATAAACTACCCAAAGTTTTCGTTTTTAAGTTGTATAATTGATCAGCAAGACAAGATCTACAAACAAATGTAATGGTCGAAACCATCAGTCAACTCCTTATTAGAGTTATTGCACTTTGATGACTTTTGCCAATTTTAGCCTTATATTTTAAAAAAATTAGAATAGAAAGTTAGAAACTTAAATTAGCAAAAACAATCAGCAAGACAAGATCTTCAGTTAAGTCGAAATGGAGGAGATTGTCCGATGACTCCTTATTGAAGTTATTGCCCTTTAATGAGGATTTTTACTAAATTTTTTTTTTGCGTTTTGCCTTACAGATAAAAATTGTAAAAGATAAATAGAAACTTTAGATAACAAAAATGATCAGCAAGGCAAGATCTACAAACAAGTCAAATGTTGCCGATATAGTTAGTAGACTGCCACTCTTCATAGGAATGATTGCCCTTAAAAGATAATTTTTTTACCCTCTTTTGTGTTTTGAACAAAAACTAAAAAAAAGATAGAGAGAAACTAAACAGACAAAATGATCAGCAATATAAGATCAACAAAAAAGAAATTTTTGTCATGAATTCTATTCTTGTCTATAGTGGTCCTTTGTTAAATATGCACATAGACCTAGGTGAGCAACACAGGCTCTTTAGAGCCTCTAGTTTTATTCACTGCTGTGTTTTTGATAGACCATTTGTATTTGGATTGTTATCTGAAAACTGACCCTCGGTTAATTTATGCTTCAGATAATTTGAAGTCAAACTAATCTTCACTATGAAGTTTCTTTTACGAGAAGTACAATAAACCACTTTGTATAAACACCATTTTAGAAGATAAATACTTCTGATGTGGGTGAGTGAAGGAATTTGCTTTGGGTTTGTTCATATGTTGACTGTTTTGGTGTACAAATATGATTTTGAAAAAAAAACATAATTTTATTGCCATGAATCAGTTCAAAGTATTACTAATAAAACAAATAAATTCTTCTCCCACACAATTTTCTTCAAACGCCTTTGTCTAATTGAAATCTTAATATTAGGTTTGATGTTTTGCAACAAACATGCATGCTTGCATGTCTGCATAAATAGATTAAATGAAACCAAAAGTGCTTAGTATAATTATTGGTTATTTATTTAATTACTTTCAAAGTAAGCAATTTCCTAAGGTAGATTATTTACCTTTTGAATGCAGAAAAGGTATTTATTGCTATCTTATTTAATAGATTTGCCACATTAATTTAGTTATATTGAAAATGCAAAGTGCCAAAACAATTTAAATTTGGTTATTTAAATTTGATTATTTAAATACCTGTTTAAATACCTGTTGATCATCGGTTGTAAATAAAATTTAGATATTATAGATAATTTCCAGAATCATTCATCTTTTTAATACAAATATTTGTATTTTTTACACTTGGTAATTAATTTCTCTGGAGAACTTAGGCAGAAATAGTGCACAAAAGAAGTTAATCATCTAAGTGGATTTGTTCAGAAAGGTATTGAATTGGATGCAGTTTGATGCTAGGAAAAGGGATTATACAGTTTTCCAATGTGTAGAATTTCTCTATTTTGAAATTGGATTTAGATATGATTGTGAAAGCATGCACTGTGGTTAATTTCACCTGTTTATGCATGTTTGAGTGAATTATGGAATATACATAGAGTAGCACTATTTTCAATTAATTTTATTGAAAATCAGTGAAAGCTTGAAAAACTGCCAGATTTTTTGCCTTTTTTTTGGTAATAAATTAACATAAATTGATGAAAGTAATTAATTTTTGTTTTGTGAATCCTGCAATGGCACTTCTGCCATTTATACAAAAGGATATATATTTACCAATATATAGCGAGCATTTTGATTTTTTGTGTATACAATTTTCGCAGATGAATGAAATTCTTGGGACAGATTACGAGAAGAAAATGGCAACCGTGAGTGTACTTAAACAGTATGCCGAGGACCGAGACATTGATATGTTAGGACGGGCATTAAAGGCTATCCTCAAAACTCCTCAACAAAAGAAAATAATGAAACAGATAAGGTAAGAGAAAGATAAATTATTATATATGTTTTTATCCCATGTTTATTAACATTTAAAGTTTATGCTCTTCAACAATTTCAATGTCTGTCATATTTGTTTTTCATAAATTGTTTTGTTATAAATTAGGCCCTTGGTTTTCTCAATTGAATTGTTTCATATTTTTCATGTTGGGGCCTTTTTTAACCGACTATACAGTATGGGTTTTTCTCATTGTTGAAGGCTGTACGGTTGCCTATAATTGCTTACATCCACTTTATTTGAACTTTGGTGGATAGTTGTCTCATTGGCAATCATACCTCATCTCCTTATTTTTATAACAATATGTGTAGTTTTACTATTGTTTTTCGTGACATATTTCAATGTTTTGTTATAGATTAGCTTAACTCAATGATGAACGTGTTTTGTTGAATTTTTATTAAAAATACAGATACCAATTTCTTTAAATTTGTATATATAAGATGATATGAACATTTCAAAGCGGTCACTACCAATGGTTTTACATACCACTTTAAGGGAAATTACATACAGTAACATATAAATCCCCCCCTCCCTAATCACTGGGCCTATGATGTAAAAAATCCTTTAATTGATACTAAAAGTGATGAAAAGTGTTGTTGAAGAAGGTTGTTTGACCTTAAGATGTCTTTTGATTTTTTTTTGGGGGGGAGGGGGGGGGGGGTTATTTATCCCTTTCAATTAATTTTATAACTTTTGCATTTGATGGATCTTGAAATAAAGAATTTATTATAAAATCTTTTTATAGAAATGGTTTTCAGGAGATTTGAGACCATAAAACTAAGTTTAACTCACGGCTTCCATTCAGACGTGCATATACTAAGTTAGAACTTACCCCAGTTATTGCTGTTAGGATGGTAATTACAGTGATTTAACCAGAAATAGTCAATTTATTACATATATCGTGACCAATATAATAATTTTTACCACAAAAAAGTAAAAACTAGGTTTGATTATGGGAGTCATGGACCTTCAATTTTCAACATTTAAGACCTAGAGTACTAATAAATTCAAAATAGCACCCATTTTTTGTTTTGGATGAACTTATATTATCAGTTAGAATCAAGAAATTTGTCTTTCTAGCATATGTCTAATGACTGAATTTAGAAAAGAATTGTATTTTGAAGTCAAATTGAGTACAAATACTGATATTGCACTATTCTTTGTCATACAAGAGAGATTTGACAGACCATAAAACCAGGTTTAACTAGCTGCTTCCATTCAGAAGTGTGTTTCACACCAATTCTTGCCATACTGATGGTTTAAACTGATTTTACACAAAACTAGCCACTTTGATACATTTCTCATGACTACTATGTTAAATCAAACTGAACAATAAAGCTTTCAAAATAGACTCTGTACAGAACAGTAAAAAACTTTTCTTTTTTTTTATGCCCCACCTAGGGGCATTATGTTTTTCAGTCTGCACGTCAGTTTGTCTGTCCGTATGTCCCACTTCAGGTTAAAGTTTTTGGTCAAGGTAGTTTTTGATGAAGTTGAAGTCCAATCAACTTGAAACTTAGTACACATGTTCCCTATGATATGATCTTTCTAATTTTAATGCCAAATTAGAGTTTTTACCCCAATTTCACAGTCCACTGAACATAGAAAATGATAGTGCCAGTGGGGCATCCGTGTACTATGGACACATTCTTGTTTTTTTATATTTTGTGATATTTTATAAATGTGGTTTTATTTTGTTCTCCAAAACAAATGATAGAACTGTTTTTCAAGTGAGAGGTTCTACTCAATGCAACATTTTGGAAAATTTACAGGATCAGTATTCCTGCAGTCTAATGAACATAGTTCATAATTCCATTAATTGTTTCCCTCTATCAAATCAATCTACCATTTAACTCTTCAACTTTGTACTTGATTTGACCTTTTAACTTTTTTTTACTTGAGCATCACTGATGAGTCTTTTGTAGATGAAACACCCATCTGGCGTACAAAATTATAAGCCTGCTATCTTTAATGATTTTTTTAACATGTCATCAGATTCTATAACGATCTATAACTGCAGACTAATAACCTGCCTGAAAAACCCTGATAATCCTAGTTAACAACACTGTTTCAGACCTGCCAAAGATTCAAAGACTAAATACATGGGCTCCCCTATGAGAAACTGAATGATGTAATTAAAGATTATAGTCTGTAAATGTCTAGCACTAGGAAACATTGTGATGACAGAAGGTTACTCTGTTACAGTTATGTCAGAAATGTATTTGTAATGTACATTTGATGAAGTAATTAACAAGATGAGTTTTCATTCATTAGGAGCTCAAATTGTCTTCTTTATCTAAGCATTTATTTCTAACATATCAATGTTGTAAATTATACAGCAATGCATTCTGTCGTCAATGCAGCATTAATACTATTAAGCTAGTTCTCATGGCACATTTTAATATTCCAGTTCGAATATTTTATAACTACGGAATTTTTTTACATTTACATATATTTCACTAGAATTATATACTTAAGACATATATTTTTTTAATGACTAAACCGATCCTTTTTTACAAACAAGATGTTGTCCCACACAAATAAAAGGTTGCCCAGATGCAATACGATAAATGACCATAGCAATTCAAAAAAATAAATCCTAACAACTGTTATTGGTTTATTGGCTGCCATATTACTCATAGTGGTAACATAATAATTGAGAGAGAACTGTCAGTCTAACTAGGCTTTAAAGGTCCATAAACCATCGAGAATACTTATTTTAGGGTTGAGAATCCAGATTTTGCTGTTTATACTGAGCAAGGAAATGTGACTGTGCAGGGCATGTCCTGATTTTTTGTCGAGCCTGCGACTTTTGTCGCAGAAAGCTCGACATAGGGATAGTGATCCGGCGGCAGCGGCGTTAGCTAACTTCTTAAAAGCTTTATATTTTAGAAGGTGGAAGATCTGGATGCTTCATACTTTGTATATGGATGCCTCATGTTACGAAGTTTCCGACATTCACATGTCCAATGTCCTTGACCTCATTTTCATGGTTCAGTGACTACTTGAAAAAAAAGTTAAGATTTTTTGTAATGTTAAATTCTCTCTTATTATAAGTAATAGGATAACTATATTTGGTATGTGCGTACCTTGCAAGGTCCTCATGCCCATCAGACAGTTTTTACTTGACCTCGACCTCATTTCATGGATCAGTGAACAAGGTTAAGTTTTGGTGGTCAAGTCCATATCTCAGATACTATATGCAGTAGGTCTACTATATTTGGTATATGAAATGATTGTAAGGTGTATATGTCCAACTGGTAGGTGTCATCTGACCTTGACCTCATTTTCATGGTTCAGTGGTCAAAGTTAAGTTTTTGAGTTTTGGTCTTTTTTTCTAATACTATATGCAATAGGTCAACTATAAATGGTGTATGGAAATATTTTATGATGTACATGTCAGTCTCACAGGTTTTATTTGACCTTGACCTCATTTTCACGGTTCATTTCTCAGTGTTAAGTTTTTGTGTTTTGGTCTGTTTTTCTTCAACTATAAGCAATAGATCAACTATATTTGATGTATGGAAGGATTGTAAGGTGTATATGTCTGTCTGGCAGGTATCATCTGACCTTGACCTCATTTTCATGGTTCATTGGTCAATGTTAAGTTTTCTTGTTTAAGACTGTTTCTTAGAAACAATAAGCAATAGCAATGAATAGGTCAACTATGTTTGGTTTATTGAATGATTGTAAGGTTTACATGTATTTCTCGTTTGGTTTATCTGACCTTGACCTCATTTTCTTGGATCTTGTTAAGTTTATGTGTTACTTGTAGTAAAGCTTTGTATTTAGGACTATCAACATAAAATCAATGGTTAGTAAAGAAGGCAAGACATTTCAGCATGTGCACTCTTGTATATATGTCTTCTATGGACACATATTTTCGTTTCATTCAATTTCATATGCAAACATTCTATGACATAAGGTAGCATTAGGTCAATGAAATAAAAGATTCATTTCACACAAAATCATACCAGGTTAAAAGGAAGTAAATAAAGATGATTGGCGCCACCTAGATTTCACATCCAAGATAATAGGTAGAAGTAAATTTATTTTCTGCTGCCCTAGTAATTAGAAATCAAAATTGAAATAGTGAGAAATGAGTGTTGGCCATTGGTTTAGAAATAGCGAGAAATTTAGAGAAAAAACTCTCTGTGACGAGAAACATTTTCTGTGCCAAATTTAGCAAGGGGTGTTCTTCATTTATGCTATTTCCAAAATTCCGGAACCGTTGAGTACCCTTAAAAAATGCCATTTTTCTATCAAAAAAGCTGCGGCACCATATGTGTTTTGCAGTTTCAATTACACCCAAAGGTGTTGATAATTCAGATTGCGACATTTTTTTCAATGGATCTTTGATAGGGAAAACGCAGGACCAAAAAAAGGCTACCATTGTCGCCTATGTAAATAATTACTTCCTTGTAACCTAAAGTGACATTCATTCTTAGTTATACTGTATATCTCTTTTATTCTTGATTTTGTACTGGACATTAAAGATAAATGAAATTCCAGGTTCTAATAAAATCTCCACTTTTTAGCTCACCTGACCAAAAGGGTCAAGTGAGCTTTTCTCATCAATTGGCGTCCGTCGTCCGTTGTTGTCTGTTAACTTTTACAAAAATCTTCTCCTCTGAAACTACTGGGCCAAATTGAACCAAACTTGGCCTAAATCATCCTTAGGGTATCTAGTTTATAAAGATGTATCCGAAGACTCCGGCCACCAACTAAGATGGCCACCATGGCTAAAAATAGAACATAGGGGCATGATGATAGGGGTAAAATGTAGATTTTGGCTTATATCTCTGAAACTAAAGCATTAAGAGCAAATCTGACAGGGTAAAATTGTTTATCAGGTCAAGATTTACCTGGCTTGAAATTTTCATACAAATCAGACAACCCATTGTTTGGTTGCTGCCCCTGAATTGGTAATTTTAAGAAAATTTAGCATTTTTTGGTTATTATCTTGAATATTATTATAGATAGAGATAATGTGTAAACAGCAAGAATGTTCAGTAAAGTAAGATCTACAAATAAGTCAATATGATCAAAATTGTCAATTGACCCTTTAAGGAGTTATTGCCCTTTAAATTAAATTTTTCAGAATTTTTTGTTAATTTTTGCAATCTCTTACAAAAATCTTCTCTGAAACTACTGGGCCAAATTAAACCAAACTTGGCCTAAATCATCCTTAGGTTATCTAGTTTAAAAAATGTATCCAATAATTACGCCCACCAACCAAGATGGCCACCATGGCTAAAAATAAATCATGGGGGTAAAATGCAGTTTTTGGCTTATATCTCTGAAACTAAAGCATTTAGAGCAAATCTGACATGGAGTAAAAATGTTCATCAGGTAAAAATCTATCTGCCCTGAAATTGTCAACCCCTTGTTGGGTTGCTGCCCCCGAATTGGTAATTTTAAGGAAATTTTGCAGTTTTTGGTTGTTATCTTGAATATTATAATAGATAAGAGATAAACTGTACTCAGCAAAAATGTTCAGCAAAGTAAGACCTACAAATAAGTCAAATGGCCAAAATGGTCAATTGACCCCTTAAGGAGTTATTGCCCTTTTAAGTAAATTTTTCACAATTTTTCATAAATTTTTGTAATCATTTACAAAAATCTTCTCCTGACTGAAACTACTGGGCCAAGTTAAACCAAACTTGGCCTAAATCATCCTTAGGGTATCTAGTTTAAAAAATTTATCCCATGAACGCATCCACCTACCAAGATGGCCACCATGGCTAAAAAAAGAAAACATAGGGGTAAAATGCAGTTTTTGGCTTATATCTCTGAAACAAAAGCATTTACAGCAAATCTAACACGAGTAAAAATGTTCATCAGGTCAAGATCTATCTGGCTTGAAATTTTCAGACGAATTAGACAACCTGTTGTTGGGTTGCTGCCGCTGAATTGGTAATTTTAAGGAAATTTTGCAGTTTTTGGTTGTTATCTTGAATATTATAATAGATAAAGATAAACTGTAAACAGAAAGAATGTTCAGTAAAGTAAGAGCTACAAACAAGTCACATCACCAAAATTGTTAATTGACCTCTTAGGGGGTTATTGCCCTTAAAAGTCATTTTTTTTACAATTTTTTTTAAATCCTTTTTTTCGTTTTTTGCCTTTTATCTTGAAATCTATAATAGATAGAGAAAAACTTTAACATGCAAAAATCATCATCTAGACATGTTCTATAATTAAATCTAATGGTTGAAATCGTCGGTTGATTCCTTATTAGAGTTATGGCCCTTTGATGACAAATTTTTACCAAATTTTTGCGTTTTGCCTTATATCTTAAAATATTATAATAGATAGATAGAAACTTAAAGAGGCAAAAATGATCAGCAAGGCAAGATCTACAATTAATACCATATGGTGGAAATCGTCCGATGACTCCTTATTGGAGTTATTGCCCTTTAACGACGATTTTTACCATTTTTTTTGCATTGTGCCTTATATGATAAAAATTATAATAGATAGCTATAGATAGAAAGTTAAATAAGCAAAATTGACTAGCAAGACAAGATCTACTAACAAGTCAAATTTTATAGTTAGTAGACTGTCACTCTTTATAGGAGTGATTGCCCTAAATTTAGGATTTTTTTTTTACCCTCTTTTGTGTTTTGAGCAAAAACTAAAGAAGATAGAGAGAAACTAAACAGACTAAATGATCAGCAATACAAGATCAACAAAACAGAGATTTTTTATATGAATTCTATTCTTGCCTACATGTTGGAGAGTGTCATTTGTTGAATATGCACATAGACCAAGGTGAGCCACACAGGCTCTTTAGAGCCTCTAGTTTTAATAAAAAGTTTTGTATTAAACTATATCAGAAAGCATGAAATCACTCATAGTTTTTTAATTATAAAAAATAATGTTTTGGCAACCCTTAGCATTAATGCAATTTTTTAGAAAAAATTCTTCAGTAAACCCCAAAACAACATATTGTAATGTCATCATGACATTTAAACAAGTGTAATTTGGCCTTAACCTTATGTTCTATTATTTAATGTTTATGATCATTACCAAAATGATACCATGAAGTGTATTCATTCTATTGTAAATGATGCATTACTGTCTTAATATACAAAAGCCTTTCACAAATATCTGTCCTTCAGTGATGATGAGCGAAGCTCCGGTTCAAGTTAATGTTTCCTTAATTAAGAACTGTTCAATGATGTTAAGCAAGGGTATAAAGATAGATATTTAATAATTTTCAGACCATTCATCCCACCTCGACAAAGACACAGATTTGACGATTTTATCAAGGAGAATGAAGTACTCCATAATAATCATGAAGATGATGTATCACCAGGAGGTCTGAGAAATGGTGTAAAAATGTTAGTATTTTTTCTCTTGCCTACCACAAAATTGCCACAAAATGTAAAACAGGGTTTTAGCGGTGGATGAGCTAGTCTAGTCTAAAACAAGTTGTGAATATTTTTGATAAATGAAACAAGTATACAACTTCTTACAGTAAAAACATAACATAACTGAAGAAAATTTGAAAAACTTGAATATAGAACAAAATGATCATGTTAGCACTGACTCAATATATTTTTGTGTGATGTCATGCAACAAACAATTGACATTAGGGAACCAACAATCAATCAATCAATGCAACAAATAACAGTTTGTTATTTTTTTTATTTGGTTTGATTATTGTTTGGGTTAATCCTACATTTTAACATGTAACTTGCAAAAAAGTTGCTGCAAGTGTGCTGATCCTGTAATTTTAGATACATGTATAAGATATGAATATGATTTTAAAAGTAAAATTGTGTTCAATTTTTGAACACCTTAATAATTGAAGGACTTTAAACTAAAAGAAAAGACCCATGATTGCTTTCTTAAACACAATTAAAAACATATAACTAATGTAAATTTCCTGACTTTATACATCTATATGGAAAATTTCGAAAGGAAAGAAGAAATTTTTATTGAAGCATTAGAGTTTGATATTTATCAGTAAATGCTTGATTTATTAATATACTTGCATTAAAAAATATCAATAAGGCAAATAATTGACATGATTCAAGAATAAGAAAAAATTAGTGTGCCCTCTGATTTGTCAAGAAAAAATTTGGTTTAAACAAACATTAAACAATCATTATTTCTTTTATATCTTTTTGTAGTACTTTATTGGTGCTCCCACTGTCTGTATCACTCTGCTCAGCTCATCATAAAATTGCATATCACGATTTTGTGATGTCAACGTTGATAAGTTTGACCCAAACTTATCAAGTCATCTTCCGGTTTGATGGTGAAACAAAGAACACTTTTTTTATACCATATACAATCCGATAAATCGATTACACTGGATATATATTTATATCGTAAAATGTCAGCTGATGGACACAATATGAAGCCTTTTTGAACTCATTTGCTGTGCTCACTCGATAAAAAGTTTCATACTGTGACCTCACAGCTGATTTTTTACTATATCAATATGCACACAACCTGATAATCAGTACGTATTAGTCACACCACTAACTGCCAATATGAATTTTGAAGTAGAAAAGTTTGGATTATATAATAATTTTAATAGGTAATGGTTAGTTTGAACTAATTAGTTGTTATCAATAAGTGCTTGCGGTTTTTAAACGGATGAAATATGACTTATATTTGTAAAGTAAAAAATTAGTATGTCTTTTGTTTCTTTTCTAATTTTGTTTTACTCTTCCAGAACAGCAATAGTACATAGAGAAGATGGAAGTTTTGGATTTGTATTAGCAGGAAATAATCCAGTATTTATAGAATCAGTAGAACCAGGTGGTCCGGCTGATAGGGCGGGGCTGTTAGCAGGAGATTGTATTGTCAATGTTAACAAAATAGATGTCAGGTATAATTGATCTAGTACAATATCAAAAATTATTTATAGACTAGTGTAGATTCATTTTTTTTCGTGGGTACCAATTTTTGTTGATTGAGGAAAAATTGTATTTTCAAAGATAAATGATTTTGTGGTTTTGCAAAAGTCTGCACACAAGCCTAATTGGTAATAGAAAATTTGTATTTCGCTGAACATTTAAATTTGCTGTTCACTTTTACCTATGAAATCCACAAAAATTGGTATCCTGGGAATGATAATGAATCCACAGTAATTGAAATATAAGTAATGGACTATATATACAGGCACTTAAAATTTAGCTATAAGGTTTGACCTTAGATTGCTTCTTTTTATAAATTGATATTGAAAAGCTGTCAAATGACATGTAATTTCAAGGTGATATACAACCAAATCATAGTACTCACATCCAGTTGCATACGAAAATAGGTCGAAAAAAAATATTCCCTTGAATTTGACAGTTGTTGGTAATTGATCCTACATTTCATTACAGTAAAACATTTCTGGGTCATAAACATATATCTTGGGTATTTCAAAGCACCATTATTTTTTTATTTGGGGTTTCTATAGAATATTTTGGAAACTTGAGGTAACATGGTTACTAAAGCTTGTACACAGGTTAAAAAAGGGGGAAAATTTGATTGGTTAACTTCCAGTGATGGTTATTTTCTTATATGCAATGAAATGTTATGTGAAATTTTTTCTATAGTACTGGACAGGATAAAACTTTACTCATGCCAAGTATTTCTTTATTTGAAACAAAGATTTTTTGAAAAGTGCAAATTTAACAAAGACTAATAGGGGAAAATCAATGGTGGTATAACACCTTCAAAGACTGGTTTCTTATGAGGAATCTCAAGAATTAAAACTGAGTTAAAATAATAACAAAATTAAAAAAGGATTCCCTAGATAAAAAAAAATGTCATCATTTTGGTTCTTTTCAGTCAGTCCCTATCCTAATGAGCACAAAACTTCCAGATTATCATGATTATTGTATCATTTAACTTTCATTTTTTGTCTAGGAATAATATTTTACAATGATATTTACTACCACTGAGTATCAGATTCTTTGTCCACCACAGTTTTTATTACTAAAAAAAAAAATCTTTTTTATCACATGCATATTGCATGAGGACAATACCAGTCTAAGTATACACTTGAACACTTTTTCTTTTGAAATGCTGAAGTAATTGAGACCAAACTAAGTTAAATGTGTTTAATAAAAAAAGAGTTTGTAGAAAGATCATCATGACTAATTGAATGCAAATGTAACAATGTGGCATCTTTTGAGGTAATTATTAAGTGTTCATAACTTTGATTCCAATATGGCTGCCAAATGGGTACTCAAAATTTTCTCCATTATATCTATGTCTATATGAAATTTATAAAAATATTTTTTGTAAACCACTTGATCGATTGCATTTATTACAGAAAGGATCCTGTTGTGTTAGTGAGTGTTATAACCTTGATGACAATTAGCTTAATCATAAATGAGCCAGACTGTAGTATTAATGAACTGACAGGGTGCTTTCTCTTGGTGTCAATTGATAAAGTGCTGAATTAAATGAAAACAAACAAAACTGAAATGTTTTGCAGTTGACTGATTTTGATTTGGTTACATATGTGTTGACATGACAAAATGAACAAATATAGCCCTAATGTAAGGTGTTGAAAATTGATGAAAAGAATTATTGATAAATTGGTTCATGGTTTGGTTTTTACATAAGTTTGATAAGAACTACTTGTGATAGATCAGTGATATTTTGTAAAAAGTTGCATAACTATCAGTACATATCAGTTTGACAACTATTTTGAGGCCCTGCCTTCTAGGACATGGTCTAGTGACTTTGAATTAATTAGCAATTTTAATGTTAAGTTTTCTGCTTAAGTTAGATTGATAGGAACTACTTACAATAAACAACAGTATTTTCTATTAAGTTACGTTACTGTCTTTATGTCTCAGTCTGTCGACCATTTTCAGGGCATGCCGTGACTAGATCATGGTCCAGCAACTGAATTAATAAGCAATGTTGCTGTCCATCAGATTGCCTTTTCTTAATTTTATGCCGACAAGACATATCTCTGTGTCAAAAGTTTATTATATAACAGCTGTGACTTTGGTGGGGATCAACAAACCATGACAGCCAGTTTGGTGCTTAAAATTACATTGGATCTTATAGGAAATATTTAGAAATATATTCAAAAGCACAAATACTTCAAAAGGAAACAAGATTAAAGAAATTGATTTTGATGCACAAAGCTAGGTTTTGTAATGCAAATTTAATTTGGTTTGACATTTTTAAACTCCATCAAGGCTGTGTAATTGTTATTCATTTATGCAAAACTATATTTGCATAGCGTTCCATTCTGATTTCATTTATATTGCTCAATTAAAGTGATTTATCTTTTCCTATTTTTCTTTGTTTTATTCTTTGATCAAATTCTTTAAATGGCTGAAAAACTCCTCAGAAAGTAATAACAAAATTAACATGCATTTTACTGGATCTTAAAGTGTTTTTGAATACCTTCATTACAAGAAATTACATCAGCAATGCAAAATCATTCAACTTTCTATCATGTCTGTAGTAATAAAATTAGAGGCGAATTTATAAAATACAAGGTGCAGAGGTAAAAGTTACATAGATTATTTTACTCAATAAACTACTTGATTGGTATTGTGTAATATGAAAAACTGAATTGATTTACCAACTGTTTTAGACAGAAATTGTAAACAATATAAAGAAACTGATGATTGAACTATAGCTAGTAAACAAAATCAAGAAAAAGTATTTTGTAACCATAATTTTAAAGTTTTTTAACAATAAGATGATGATTATTTGCGATGATAAATGATTTTAAAAACATACAGAAATCAGTTTTTATGACAAATGATGGATGTGTACTTTTGGTTCGTTGGATAACTTCATGTTGATTAATTTACCACCCGTAATTAAAAACTACTGATTTTCTTAACAACATAGAATAACATTTTCAAACTTAATGAGTTTTTCAAAAGGAAAATGAGTTACAAATCTTCATTAATGCAACACTTTTATCAAAGCAACTGTTGTACAACTGATGTTATATGTCACTTTTTAGACTTCGTTAACATTTACTGTGAATAAGAAGTGGTATGACAGCGGTAAAAAAGGTTAATATGGATTCATTTATTTTCATGGGTACCAATTTTCGTGGATTAAGGAAAACTTACATGTTCGTGGATATTTAATTTCGTGGTTTTTTCCGAAGTCTGTATACAAGCCTATAGAAAATTTCTTATTCGTTGAACATTTAATTTCGTCGTTCACCTGTACCCACGAAATCCACAAAAATTGGTATCCAACGAATAATAATGAATCCACAGTACTTTGAAAATAAAAAATAAAAATTTTGTGAAAAATAGAAAAAAGGTTTAAAGAACAATATAACCAAATTACATGTATAGGATTATTGTAAATATTTTAAGTTTTAAATGCTGCCAATACATATTATCTATAATGATAAGTACATTGTAGTACAGATATGAATAAAGTTGATTGATGGTGTTGAACGCCACTTTCAGCACTCTTGGCTAATTCATGGTGGCCATTTTTTATTGGTCAGGACTTGACAGAACCACCTTTTTTCAACAGGATAAGTGACAATCCTAATCAATTAAGAGAATTATTATTTGCAACATAATTATGGAAATTTATGGTACAAAAACATATCATATTTTAAGAAAAATCTATGCGTGGTAATTGGAGATTTAACATTTTTGAGACAAATTTAAAAACATGTTTGGCCAATCTTATGTGTGAATTATACAAACGTACATGAGATCAAGACCATTTTGAAAGAATTTATTCAATAATACTACTAAAAATAAAAGTGTTAAATCATACATGTATTTGTTATGCCCCACCTACTATAGTAGAGGGGCATGATGTTATTCAGTCTGTGCGTCCGTTTGTTCGTTCGTCGTCCATCTGTCCTGTTTCAGGTTAAAGTTTTTGGTCAAGGTGGTTTTTGATGAAGTAGAAGTCCAATCAACTTGAAACTTAGTACACATGTTCCCTATGATATGATCTTTCTAATTTTAATGCCAAATTAGAGTTTTGAACCCAATTTCACGGTCCACTTAACATTGAAAATGATGGTGCAAGTGGGGCATCCGTGTACTATGGACACATTCTTGTCTTCCCCAATTTTAGTTAAAGTTCCAACAGGCTAAAGTTGTATAAAATTTTTTACCAAAATCTGTGATATTGCGATTTATCATACCTTGACCTTAACACTAAATGTAAATGAAACTCATTGCACAAAATTGATTTTTAAAATGGTGCCTGAAATAATTTTCTGTTCACATGAGGTAACAGATTGACATAGAATTTTAACAGTAAATTTGAACTAAGTATTACTTACGAAAATAATTAATAGTAAGTGATAATTAAATTATTAATTATTTTGCTGCAGAATGGTATGTATTAGATCTCTGCTATAAAATGAAGTAAAGATATTTGTTTCCTCTCTTCTGACACCTACATGAATTATAGCGGAGCACTTTTATGTCAGCACTTGGTTAACAGCAGATGTTTGGTGTAAATGTGTTAAGAAGTAGATAGAAATTGCAAAGGATTTAAGTGAGATGTAAATACCAGATATTTTCTTTGATATGGTAATAAACAACAACAGAAAAAACACACTTTAAATTATTAGATATCACATCATCTTAGAAAATTTCATGATGACCAAATAACTGTCATTCAAAAAGCTGTTGAAGCCATCACATTGACAAAAAATTGTGAAACGACAACATTTTGAAATCAATAATGCAATATTTCTTCTTCTTGAACTGCAATTTTAGCCAATGAAAGAATTTATTACATAAACATTGCATTTGAATGCTTTTTGTCTCACCTGCAACAAAAAGTTGCTGAATGCAGGACATAGGGATTACTATCTGGCAGCGATGTAAGCTATTTGTATAAAGTTTTATATATCATAAGGTAAAAGACCTGGATGCTTCATACCTTGTATGCAGATACCATATGTACGAAGTTTCTGTCTGTCATATGTCCATGGTCCTACATCTCATTTTCATGTTGTTCAGCAACCACTCGAAAAAAATTTATAACTTTTTTTATGCCCCTGCAATATATAGGCAAATAGGGCATTAAGTGTTGTCCTTAACCGTCCATCCTTCCGTCTGTCCTTCCGTACATCCGTACATCCTTCTGTCCATCCAATTACATTTCTGCACACTCTAACTTAAGTTTTACTCATCCAAATTTTATGAAACTCATACACAATGCTAATAACCAATAGTCTCAGACAGAGTTCAAATTTTTGCAGTGAGTCATTTACAGTTCTAGAGTTATGCCCCTTTTTAACTTGGAAAATTGCAAAGCTTGAGAGGGGGCATTCGTGTCCTCAAACACATTCTTCTTTTATTGTAATGTTAATTGTATTTGGTATATAAGTTCCTTGCAACATCTTCATATCCGTCAGACAGGTTTCACCTGACCTCGACCTCATTAATCTTGGATCAGGGATCAAGGTTAAAGTTACATGATCTGTTTCTCAGATACTATAAGCAGTAGGTAAACTATTTGTGGTGTATGGAATGATTGTAATGGATACATGTCAGTCTGGCAGGTTTCTTTTGACCTTGACCTCATTTTCATGGTACATTGGTCAATATTGAATTTTTGTGTTTTGGTCTGTTTTTCAATTACGATAAGCAATAGGTTTACTATATTTGGTGTTTGGAATGATTGTAATGTGTTCATGCCAGCTGTCTGGCTATTGCCATTTCTCCTTTTAAATAACCTCATTTTCATGGTTCATTGGTCAATGTTTAGTTTCTTTTGTTTGTTTTTCTTCTCAGATACTATAAGTAATAGGTCAACTCAGTATGTTTGGTGTATTCAATGATTGAAGCCTTCATATGTATGTCTGTCATGCATCATCTGACTTTAACCTCATTTTCAGGGTCCATTGGTCAATGTTAAGGTTTCACAGTGTTGTTTGTTGTTTTTGATACTGTAAGCAAAAGGTCACCTTATATTTGGTGTATGGATTCATTTTAAAGTGTACATGTATGTCTGCCAGGGTTTCTCTGACCTTAACATTATTGTCATCGATCATTGATAATGTTAAGCTTATGTGATACTTGCAGTAAAAGCTTTATTGTTAAGTCTTTCAACATTAAATTAATCATGGTCAGTACAGCGGTGAGACATTTCAGCATGTGCACTCTTGTTTAATGAAAAATGGTAGGATTAAAATCATTTTATATGACAGCCATTGAAAGTTCAATATAGCTTTCTTTAAATGACATATATTCATCAGAATTATACCTATAGTGTTTTACAGTAATAAGTCTAATTTCTTTTTTTAACAGAAACTATAGCCATGCCCATTTAGTACAGTTATTACAGAATAGTGATTCTGCTCCACAAGTAGAAGTTATGAGGACAGGCAATGATACTGGAAGTAAGTTATATAATTTTCATCTCTCCTTCTTATATGAGAGTAAGAATGCCCTTTATCGTCAAGCGTCAAATGTCCCTATTTTGCTACTGTTAGCGTCAAATAAGCCATCATTTTTTATCATCATTCATCTAATCTCATTCTGTGGCTACCGTTAGTATCAAATGAAGTAAAATGTTTATCATTAATGTTATTTTAAATATTTTGCCTTCATTTGTCTTGTAGGGTACCCTATTACTACCCTGTAGCTCATGATCAAGTTGGCTTTCAAATATTCGGCTTTGAGCGTTTCTGATGAAGGTAAATCCAGAAAAGCGCTTCTGACGTATTAAATTTATAACGTGTTGTTTTCATTTTTTATCAAAATATAGTATGAGTCCATTCTTTTGCTAGCACTTGACATATGTTCTATTGTTTTGTTTTTTATTTCTATGGTCTGACTTTAAACTTTTCACATTTGTATCAACTCCCTACAACAATTTTGCAAATTGGAACAAAGTTAAAATAAAATTGGGATTTCAGAATTGTATCCAACATTCCAGCTTATTATCCTAGCTAGATGCATGAGCCCTGATTAAAAGGGACATTTTGATATCTTTTTTGAAACTTAACCAAGTTGGATTAGAATTGGTCTAATGGTCCTTGGTTTTCCCTATTTAAATTATATAAGGCAGCCAAAACATCAAAGTCAGACCCGTTCACAAGGTTTTATTTTTTGTGTTTTTCTTGTTCAAACAAGGAATTATTTGAATCTGGAATAATTTTGAATTCTGGAAAATTGATGAGAAATGTATGATGAAAACTAACCCAACTAAATAGGGTTAGCCATGCGCACATGGCTAAGGGGAATTAGTTAGTTCATACTGAAATATCAGTGAAAGTAGAATTAACCTTAGCCATGCACGCATGGCTAACCCTATTTAGTTGGGTTACTTTTCATCATACTTTTCTTATCAATTTTCCAGAATTCAAAATTATTCCAGATTCAAATAATTCCTTTTCAGACTTTTCTCTACCATAAATATAAAATTTATGTGCAATGAATTTTTCTTAATTTTATGTTATACGTGTATTTTGAAAAAATGAACTTGCAAAAATGTGCAAGTTAAAACTAAAACAATTTAATCATTGCAGTAAATTTAAGGAACATGTTTAATTAATGATTTTGCCTTATGGGTTAATGATCTGCATACTTTGTATATAATAAACAGGTAAGATTATGATGTATATTAACATAATACATTCTGTATGTAGATATAAGAAGATGTGGTATGAGTGCCAATGAGACAACTCTCCATCCAAGTCAAAATTTATAAAAGTAAACCATTATAGGTCAAAGCTTGTTCCAAATCAGGAGCCTGTAATTCAGTGGTTGTCGTTTGTTGCTGTATATCATATTTGATTTTCGTTCATAATTTTAAACATGAATCAGGATGTTAGTTTTCTCATTTGAATTGTTTTACACTTGTCTTTTCGGGGCCATTTATAGCTGACTATGCAGTATGGGTTTACTCGTTGTTGAAGAGCGTACGGTGACCTATAGTTGTTAATTTCTGTGTCATTTGGTTTCTTGTGGAGAGTTGTCTCATTGGCAATCATATAATAACCAAATCTTCATTTGTATACATTTTAGGTGTCAGATTGAATGGTAGTATGCATACACGAACACCATCCACCTTGTCTTTAGCATCTACAACAACAAGTCATGCCTCTTCAGACTGGCAATCTACAGAGGTACAGAAAGATGGCAAAACATTTAAACAAAGTGTAAGTTTACATTGTATTTCATTAGATATTCTCAAAATGATTAAAGTTTCCCATTTTTTTTCTCTCCCCCAATAAACTTAGACAGGGAATATATTGATAATATTTGGTAACAATCTTATGTAGCACTAAATATGTATAAAACAACTTCTGGTATTCTCCAATCACCATAATATTATTAACTGAATTAAAATGTACAGTGGTGAATTTAGTAGATACAATCATTATCCTTTAACTAAACTAAATCGTGATTTATGTACATCACCATGCAAATTGTTCACCGAATGGGGAAATGATTACGTTAAACATGGGCCCTGGATCTTATTGCTTGGATCCACAGGTTCCTTCTTTGGTCAGTTTGGGAAATTGTGGAACGACAATTCTAGATGTCGCTGACCGTTGCCATTGCACAATGGCACACAACAGTGCTTGTCGTGCCCTTTACTAGTCTTTTCGGCGTCCCTTTTGTTCCACTTACCGACCTTAGCCTCTATTTGAGTTTATAGACGGAACTTATATATATATTATGAATATGTATAAAAGGAGTGTTCAGATTGTGGGTAAATTTCTTAAAGATAGAAAGTTAACAGCAAACATAAAAAGCAATCAATATTAATCATGTACCTTCATATTCATATTTCTAAATAATTGACTATATAAACTTTTAAATATTTTCATTGAAGGGACAGGATTGTCAATTAATGTTAATTTCATCATTTCTTTATTCATATCTTTGAATAACTGTCCATATAAACTTTTAAGTATTTTCACAGAATGGACAGGAGTATTAAATGTGGGTTTTTTTTCCCGCATTTCTTAGAACTTATTTATAAATGTTGGTTTTTGTTGAACCTGTGACTTTTGTTGCAAAAGCAAGTCAGACATAGCGATCCTACATTCCGTCGGCGGCGGTGGCGTCCACAAATATTCACTCTGTGGTTAAAGTTTTTGAAATTTTAATAACTTTCTTAAACTACTCTGGTTTTCTTCCAAACTTGGACAGAAGCTTGTTTATGATCATAAGATAGTATCCAGAAGTAAATTTTGTAAAAAAAAAAATCCTGTTTATCCGTATTTTACTTATAAATGGACTTAGTTTTTCAGCCAGTTAACATTACATTCACTCTGTGGTTAAAGTTTTTTAAAATTTTAATAACTTTCTTTAACTATCCTGGATTTCTCCCAAACTTGGACAGAAGCTTGTTTATGATCATAAGATAGTATCCAGAAGTTAATTTGGTAAAAAAAATCCTGTTTATCCGTATTTTACTTACAAATGGACTTAGTTTTTCTGCCAGTTAACATTACATTCACTCTGTGATTAAAGTTTTTAAAATTTTAATAACTTTCTTAAGCTATCCTGGATTTGTACCAAACTTGGACAGAAGCTTGTTTATGATCAAAAGCTAGTATCTAGAAGGAATTTTGTAAAAATTTATTACCTGTTTTTCCGTATATTACTTATAAATCAACTTAGTTTTTCTTCCAGTTAACATTACATACAGTCTGCAGTTAAAGTTTTTAAAACATTTATTAGATTCATAAACCATCCTGGATTTTTACCAAACATGGATAGAAGCTTCTTACAATCAAAAGATAGTATCTAGAGGAAAATTTTTAACAATTTTTTCCCCATTTTTGTTGAGCCTGCGACTAACAGCAAAAGTAGGCGAGACACTGGGTTTCGCAGAACCCATACAAATTTTTTTTCATCAAATCAATCTATGGTATCTTCTCTTTCAGGCCTATTACTTACTGACCTCAAAAGAAAGATCTCAGCTGAAGAAAGCTATGTTGGAATATGACAGTAGAAAGTTTGTATATCATAGATTTTACATTTTTATCCAATTTAATTTGAGAATAATATTATCATTTGTCTATTTTCATACTTTTATTAATTAGTTTTTTTTGTGAATATGCCTTGTTCTACTTGTACCTGTGTGACCTCACTCAATTTTTAAATGCAACATAAATTCAAATGTGGATAAGGACTTTCATCTACCAACAATAGGCATGTCATGGATTTTCTTAAATAGATATAAGAAGATGTGGTATGAGTGCCAATGAGGCACTTCTCCATCCAAGTCAAAATTTATAAAAGTAAACCATTATAGGTCAAAGTACGGTCTTCAACACAGAGCCTTGTCTCACACCGTACAGCAAGCTATAAAGGGCCCCAAAAACTACTAGTGTAAAACCATTCAAACAGGAAAACCAACGGTCTAATCTGTATAAAAAACGAGAAACACTTATGAACCACATCAACAAATGACAACTTCTGAACATCAGATTCCTGACTTGGGACAGGTGCAAACAATTGCAGCGGGTTTAAACGTTTTAATGGTACCAAACCTTCACCCTTATCTGAAACAATAGTGTAACATCACAACATAGAAAGACACACTATAAAATATCAATTGAAATGGCTTCATTAAGCTGGTCATTGAATACTGAGTAACAATCTTTTAAAGAACTAAATATATATCAGTTTATAAGAGTGGGTATATGTCTAAAACAGAGCTTCCAAAATGGTTGTATTGTCCGGACTTGACCGGTAAATTATATTTTTGACTTGTTGTGTTGAGCCTGAACCAGACATATAAGGTTGATTTGCCATTTTAATATATTCAGAAAAAAAATTGAAGTTTTTTAATCTATTATTTTTGTCAATCATTGTTTATATGCCCAACTGATTACCATAAATGCCTTTTGTTTCTTAGTCTTAAGGGATTAAAATCAGGATAAGATCAAAAATGTCCAGCTGGCTCATATTGTTTTTGGAAGCCCTAGTATAAAAGATGTCAAAATATAGTGACAGTTTAGATTTCTATGCAAGAAAAAATCTATGTATCACTAACAAAATGTGAAACAATTCAAAAGAGAAAACTTACAGCCTGATTTATGCAAAAAAAAAACAAATAAGGCAGAAAGCAACCAACAATAAACACTAAATTAGATGGATCCTGACATGGATGGGCACATATATGTAAATAAAGTGTTTGGGCTAAATATGTGTGAACACTCAACCCTTCAGTCTGTCTTAAAAGCACAAAGTAAAAACAAACTATAAAAAATCATTTGGAAAAGGATGTTCATTTTGTCATGTGAGTAATTAATTATACTTGCATGCGATCTTAAATTCATCATCTATAATTGCATCTTTTATTTATACTCTTACACTTATATTGAAACTTCAACAATCTGTCTTAATAGGGGTTCAGTTCAAATAAAAACTTATAAATTTTCATTTCATTTTAGGAATGTTGTTGACCTTCACAAGAGATTAACCCAGATTTTAGACACACATTCTAAGAAGACTTTATGGAGATATATATTACCTATACTACCAACTGAACACATGGATTATTGTGTCAGCAAAGGAGGTCTACCTAGGAGTATTATACAAGGTAACTTACCAGATGAAGAGCAACAATAAAAGCATGTCTGTCTACACTGTTTATTTACCATTAGAGAATAAGAAGATGTGATATGATTCCAAATGAGACAACTAACCACTAAAGACCAAGGGACAACTACAGGTCATCTTGACAGCTTTCAACAATGAGTGCAAAAAATCCATACAATATAGTCAGCTGTGAAAGGCCTCAAGAATGCAAAATGTGAATAATCCAGCAGAGAAAAACAACTTAAAACTGGCATATTTGCAATGAAGTATCATTTACTTGTACATTAAACCCTTTTGTACTATAAAATTAAAAAATAAGACAATGTTGCTCTGTTGTAAATGCCTGATACATACTACAGACTTTCATTTCTGAAATGTTCACAACTTATGGCAAAAAGAGAAGATCTGGCAAGTTCTTAATTTTGCAGTACTGTTCATACTTTTAGCTATTCTCTATGTATATTGATTATAATATTTCATAGCATTTGACATTTTGATAATGGCTCTTCAATTTTTGTGTGTATTTTTTTGTTTTACAGAATTGAAACGTAGAGGTACAAACGGAAGGAAGAATCATGATAAAAATTCCAATTCCAGTTTTGACTTACGACATAGTACATGGTCATCTAAAGGTATAACTTAAAACTTTATCATGAAATTTTTCCCACTCAACATTTATTAAACAACAATCACTCAACCTAAAAAACTTACAAAATGGCAGATTGAAGATTTCTATCTTGACCTCTTGGGCTACATACCGGCCATCTTCTCAAAATCTCCATTGGGGGATTTTAAGCACAAGAGGACCTAATGTGTCACATAATGCATCACTCAAACATTTCATGACTGTTTTAATGTATTAGTATTATACTGGTGTTTTGAATGAAAATATATGTACTTAAATTTCTAATCATATAACTTTTTAAAAAGTGGTTGAAATTAGACAAAATATTATATGCAATATTTTTGGAGTCATAAATTTAAATTCTGTGAAAACTTTTAAGTCCTGTATATCTTTTTACCTTACACTCTGTTTTCAAAGATATTGATATATCAGAGAACTTTTTTTGTCGAGCCTGCTACATTTATGTTGGGAAAGCAATACATAGCGATCCTAGATTATGTCTTTGGCATCTGTGGTGTCAACATTTAGGTTCAGTCTGTGGTAACAGTTTTTTAAGACATCAATAACTTTGTCAAACCTTCATGAAATTTTATGAAATTTGGACATAAGCTTGCATTGTTAATGACCAAAATACTGTATCCAGAGCAGAATTTTGAAAATATTTATTTTCATTTTTTCGTATTTTACTGATAAATGGACTTATTTTCTTTTACAGATTACATTCAGATTTAGTCTGAGGTTAAAGTTTTTCAGGCATTGATAAATTGTTCAAACCTTCAAGGAATTTTAAGAAATTTAGACAGAAGCTTGTTTATGACCAAAATACAGTATTCAGAGCCAAATTTGTAAAATATTTATTTTCATTTTCCGTATTTAACTGATAAATGGACTTTTTTTTACTTTTAACAAATAGATAGAGTCTGCAGTTAAAGTTTGTTACACATTAAGAGATAATGTCTGAAGGATATACAAATAATTCAAATTGCTGAAATGGTCAGTCAACTCCTAATTGAAGGAATGGCCCTTTAATGACGATATTTACCAATTTTTTGGGGTATTTTTGCCTATCATCTTCCATAATAAATATATAGAAACTTTAAATAGCAAAAATGATCAGCATTACATGATCTTCAAATAAGCAAACATGGCCAAAAGCTAATTGAGTGTAACAGGGTCTTTTGAGCCTTTGGTTGAATTTTGACACAGAAATCTTCTTGGAATCTCTTAGATCTTCCTGCTAAACCTTTCAATCCCAGAAATTATATGTGCCAATTTCTTATAATACATTCACATTTCTAAACAAATAAGTTTTAGCATTTCACTTTTAATTTATTGTCTGTTATTTTTATAGCCAGTAGCAGTACACTAGTAAACCATGACACAGATTTCTCATCACCATCAACACCAACAAATGGACCTCATTTTTCATCTTTTAAAAAACAAATGGAGTTTTTGTTAACATCGAGAGAAAGAATGCAGCTGAAGAAAGCTTTACAGATATACTCTAAAAACAGGTTGATATATTAAAAAGTTTTATTTCAGTTTCTTTGTTTACTTGTACTGTTAATGTTCTGTACTTCTCCATTGAAAACAGTATCTTGACCTTGATGTCTAATTTTTTTTCTTGTTTAGTTTGGGTTTCTGTCTCATTGATAAGTATGTACAAAGTTTTTTACATAGCAGATTGTTGTAAAATATTATTACAACTTTTTAAAGATAGGATACTCACTGCACTAATTTCTAAATTTTCAACCATTCCATTTTATGTAACATTATGTACCACTAAATTCTTCATGGTTTTTGCTGATATTTTAGTTAATTTTTGCACACTCGTAAAATATCTCCTGCACACACCTGCTAAGATAACTTCCGCACACATAAGATAACTTCTGCACACACATGAAATAAATTCTGCACACACATAAGATTGATACACTGAATTCTCCATAATCTTTCCTTATACTTTAATACTTTTTATGCCCCTTGCCACAGGGGAGGGGGCATTAATTGTTACCCTTGTCCATCTACGTCCTTCGTACGTATGTCCCAAAATTGGTTTCTGTTCTCCAACTTTGATTTGACTCAACCAAATGTTTATTACAATGCTTATTATTACAAACCACAGATCAAATTTGAATTTGGTAGGCGTCACTTTTACCATTCTAGAGTTTTACTCCTTCACAAATGGAAGAATTGCTGAATTTTTCGTTTCCCTTCTCTAACTTAAGTTTGCTTGAACCAAATGTTATGAAACTTATATACAATGCTTATTACCACAAAATTTAAATCAAGTTCAAATTTTGGTGGCGTCACTATTACTGTTCTTGAGATATGTCCCTTTATAACGTTATATGTAAGCGGGGGCATCATCTGTTTCCCATGGGCACATTCTCTATTTATTTAATTTTTATTATACTTTTTATACTTTTTAGGAAAATAGACAACCTGATATTAGATATGAATGTGATATTAGACACACCATCTAAAGAAAGTTTATGGAATTATATAGTTCAGTTATTGTCATCTGCTCATCAAGAATATACCATAAAAAAATTAAATCTCACTCCATCTTCTAAAGGTAATGATAAAACTATAAAAACAGTTATTAGTAATACAAAAATGTGAACTTTTGATTCTTTGATCTTTTTGCTCTATTGTTAAGGTTAAAAACTGTCTCGTGATAAACTTAAGAAAGTAGCATGGAAGGTCATAAATTATTGTTTTCATAAGACATATTCAACTTTAAATATAGTATGGTAAAACTGTAGATAAAATTTAAATTAAGTAATGAAATTGATATTATATATTTTTCAAACATTAAACAAAATCCCAAAATCTGATTTTAGTGAAAGTATGTAAAATTTTAGTTTCAAGTGGAGATAACTCTGATTTTTCTTATTCCAGCTTCAGATCAATCCAGTGTTCATATAACAGACTTCCTATCATCAACAGAACCAAGTCCTAGAATGCCAAGAAAAAACCTACTTCAAGATGGTCTTAATGGTTTAAGACTAAGTAAGCAAACTATTCAATTATGTTATGTTCTAGTACTTTGGATTCATTTATTTTTCATGGATTATAGAATATTTTTTCCTCAAGATTTAAGAAATTGTCAATTTTCCAAAGAAAATTTGGGGGTCACAATTTATTTTGCTAATTCTTTGTATATAGTCTGAAAACAGATTTACTAAGTATTGTGCAACAGCACAGTGTATTGCACAAAAGCAAAAGCAAGAAATCTTCAATTGAATATAAATTCAAATCATATAACCAATTTCAAGTTCTTTGACTACATTTATTCTGTGTCAGAAACCTATAATGTGTCAAATATTTAATTACAATCCAAATTCAGATCTGTATCAAGCTTGAATATTGTGTCCATTTTTGCCCCAACTGTTCAGGGTTGGACCTCTGCGGTCGTATCCAGCTGTGCTCGGCGAAGCAGTTTACCTTTACAATAGAACAGAAGTTATAAAAACAACAATTAATTTATGCCTTAACTTAATAATTTGTTATATTCATGAGGAATTTATTCTCTAATTATTTGTTAACACACATAATATTCCAAGATTATAAATTCAGAGATTATTGTGTGTTCATTTTAATATTATTGCAATTTTGCAAAAATGGACAAATATGTGGATAGTTGATTGTGATTTCAGGACAATCTGCAAAAAGATATCAGAATACAAATTCTTATTATTGCAATACACACCCAGTGGCATTTTTCGCATTAATAAAAACTTTGCAATAATTTCTGAATTTACAGTATTATTTCCAAGGATGGCAAGTTAACTTAATTTTATTGTATCAATCAAATTAGAAAAAAGAACATAAATGTTTTACATGTAATTAATGTTTTTAAAAATAGCTCAATTTTCAGCTTTGGCCTTGGAGGACAAGATTAAATATGCAAACTTCTTTAATTGCATTTTTTTTGTTATCTTTGTACTACATTATATAATGAAAATTTGGTTCTTATTTTAAGATATATATCAACACAATTTGCTACTTCCAATAATAAATTGCTTATGCATTTATTATTTCTAAACATGTAAGAAGCTACAAAGTGGTTAATAAAAAGTTTTAAGTTGAAGAAAACCAAATCAGTCCATCACATGATCGCCATGTCAAAAAAAGGTAAGGAATGAAATTACAACAGTTCAAAGACAACTAAAGATTAAACACATTCAAAAACCAGGGGTGAGCTAAGGTGCTCAGGAAGGGTATACAGTTCTGGCATCACTCATGTTTAGATAAAAAAAAAAGTTAAAATTTCTGACAAGGTATCATACAATAGTGTGCTCATCTTATTCACTCAGTGTATTTTTATTTCAGGAAGTCAAAACAGATTAGATGATTGGAGAAGAAGCCATGAAAATTTGGTATGACTTGATTTGTAATTTTGTCATAAGATTAAGGCCATGTGAATTTGCCTTGTACATGTGTTTTAATCCTCCTGCTCTAAGTGAGGGTTAAATAGGATTACCTCTGTGTCTGTCCATGCATCTGTCTATCCGTTACGTCTTTCTGTCATGTTTTTCTCAGTAAGAACAAGTTAAAGCTTTTTGATTTTTTTCAGATCCATTGATGTTCAAATTCTTATTTGCACGTATTTGATAATGCATCACATTTTTCTCAGCACTTACAAGTCAGAAGTTTTTGACGTAAAGAGGGGGTGGGGGTATAGTGAACAAACCATCTTGTTTGAATTCTTTCTAACAAAAATGGAGGTAAAATACACGCAATTGAGCGATATTTTGGATTTTAATGAAATTTTGTATGTATTTAGAACTCTTGAAGTGCATCTGAATTTAAAAAAAAAAAAAAGGTATTTGTAGTTTTGATATTTGCATAGATACAGTCAATTAAGAATTTGTGAAATAGATTAATAAATGTTTAAAATGTACATAAAATAGCACTGAAAAATATGCTTTATTTTCACTTTGAATTGAACTTTCCCAAAAATCCACCAAACAAATTTTGATAAGATATGATATGTCATTGCTGGGATCATTTCTCATTTAATGATATGAAAATATTTGGGGTCACTGTATTTCTTTTTTTTTTCAGTTGAAATCAATAAGTTTGGATAAGAAGCGTGGAAAAGGGGACAAAATACTGATAATGTTATTTCATATTTTATCACTCAAACTAAATGAGTTTTACAGCTAAAAGGAAAACAGTGACCCCCTTATATTTTCTTATTGTTAAAACAGAAATGTTTATAGTAACGAAATATAATTTTTAAAGAAAATCCTGTGGATGAACAAGAAATAAATAAGATGTGGCCTAAAAACAAATTACAAGGACAATGTATAAGATAAACAAAAGCAGCTCATCTTTGTATAACTATTTTCAATTGTCTTTTATTTTAATGCTTGGCAAATTCGTTTCAGTACAAATTGTAATAATAGGTTTACTAATATAAATAAGATGCTTCAAGAAATATAAAAATAAGGAGATGCAGTATGATTGTCAATTGAGTCAACTAACCACCAGAGACCAAAGGATTAGCCCATTTCGTAATATACAGGCTTAGAATGAAGTCAGCTTTGATTTGCTATTTTTGAAGAACAAACTAATATATTTTTATATTTACATTCTTGAACTTTTATTTTACAGTCTTCTTCAGAAGATGATGCCCAATACAGAACTCTGAAAGCAGGAGTACGAAGATCAAGAGGTCGACTATGGAAAACAATGCATCCTGGGTTCATGTATTCCTATGACGATATGGATGCTAGAGGTAGTTTATATGATAATCTTATGATAGTTTTTGTGTACTTATAACAATAGAGAGACAAAACTATGATGGAAGAGAGGAAGAAAAAATTGTGTTTTTGAAAATTTTTAGTTATTTTATTTGAAAACATTTTAGAGATCTGCTTATATCAATGATATGATTCTTACTTCTTGCATTGGTCCTTTGCCCTGAGGTTGATCTGTAAGCTTTTGTTGTGCAGGCTATCAGATATAAGATTGATATTCTTTGATACATGCTTATTTCACAGTATTTCATGCGATTGCAGTTTCAAGTTATAAAATGTACTCAATATCAATTCTCCTGATAAAGTTTGAATGAGTTTTGACATTTTACCATTAGATACATAAAAAAAGAAGGTCTGTTGTGTATAGTGATGTGTTTTCTATGACATCCTAGTAGATTTATTTCTTCTTCTTTTTTTTAATACAAACATTTTTACATATTTTATAGATGGAACTAAAGGATTTGACATTGCTCTGCTGAAAGAATTGGAACAAACAAGAAGAGCAGTGCAAGAGGCAAAAAGGATGTTCTTAGGGGCCAACAGAGGGGAAAACCATGAGTCAAATGGTAGGCATCAGATTTTTAATTTTAAACTGAGAAAACTTTACAAGGACTCGTAAATATACTGCTGACCAACAAAAATATCATTTTTTGTTTATTGGATTTTTCTCTTGCCGTTTTCAGATGTTATCAAATTACAAAAAACAAAGAGTATAAAAAAATAGCACTAACTTTAACAAAAACAATTATATAATAACAAAAATTGATGCAATAATCAATATAGTATTGATTGATAGATAGATTGTTGTTTGCTTAACTGCTGTCAGCGCATAAAAAAGGATGATAGTTCTTACTATAGATTCCTTTATTTTTTCATGGGTACCAATTTTGTAGATTGAGGAAAAATAGTATTTTCATGGTCTTGCCAAATTCTGCATACATGTATATGCCTATAGAACAGTTGAACTTTGCTGCACATTTAATTTCGTGGTTAATGTTTACTCACAAAATCCAAAAACATAGGCAATCCTCAAATAATAATGAATCCCCTGTAATTATACCTTTTCTTTACAGAATCAGATTCTGATGACAATCCTGCTAACAAATATGTAACTGTGATACCTGTAGGTTTTGGCGAACAAGAAGAGAAAGATAAATCTCCTTCTAGTAGCCTCCGACTGAAAAGTAGTTTAAAAAATCCTATTCCATATCATAAACAAAATGGCGGATTAACAAGGACAATGTCAGGCCTAATTTCACCTCCGGAAATTGTGATAACTGAATCGGAATCTGAAAGTGAAAGTGATCGTGACAATATTTGTAATAACTTTACACTGAGAGCTGGCGATTCTTTTAACCAACGAGCTTTAACAGCTTTGAAGGAATTAGATGCTGTGATGGCTGCTGAGGTTTCAGATTTGGATGCTGGTTCCATTGGACTAGAAATCAGTCATAGAGGTCCCAGCAATGCAACATTAAGTCCAAAATCTTCTCCACGTTTGAGACCTAAATCCATATCATTTACAGAGGAAGTTATGGTGCATTCTCCTCCACCACCTCCTCGTAAGTTATACTTCGTAGAATAGAGAATGTTGTGAAAATGAGATTTTGAAGGAAAGAAAATTCAGTTCTTATAAAAGTTACAGGTGTTTTACTTATGCAACTAAACATACTATTACTTAATATGGAGGAGGTGCTTCCTGATGCGATCTCTAAGTTTTTGGTGCATGTTTGTTTAATTTATCATTATACTTTTGGTAATCAAATATACAAATTTGCAGGAAATAGTATACTCCTTAAGTATCAAATTTGAGAGAAATCATATGCTTCCTTATCATTTCTTATAATATTTTATGAAAAATCATGAAAAGGAACATAAAATGGCTCAATTTTATTTTTGACATACTATGGTTTCATTTATTTTTGTGGAAACCATTATTCATGGATTGCAGGAAAAAAGTGTTGATTCTTGTTAACATGTTTTGATAGATTTTGCGCTCAAACCTACATGAAATTTTAACTTTGCAGAACAATTTGTGATTCACCCATACCCATGAAATCCATACTGGTATCCCACATTTAATGATTGATCCACAGTAATAGATCTTTAGACTGGTTCAGAACTATTATTTACAGCCATTTTATTTATATTATATAGCCCCTCCCCCTCCTCCTCCACTTCCAACTACTGCAGAGGATGTCAATGAACCTAAAGGAAAGATGAATGTTAAAAGAATTAACTGGGAGAAAATTGATGCTCAAAAAGTAGGAAATACAGTCTGGGGACAGGTATGTTGGTCTTGACAGATTATTGACATGCTATTGTAAATATTGAAATTTATATTATAAATATTTTGGTGTACTGTTGGAGTAATATATTTTGCATTATATATGTATGCTTAATGTATTGAACAGAAATTCACCACTTATTGTTAAAATTTTCTTTCGAAATTTTCTGATAAAGCATAAACAGTAGAAAATTGACTCATTAGAGCAGGGCTTCCAAAATTTCCTGACGACAGCCGGACATTTTTCAAAAAAATATTTTTGACGGTCAATGATCAGCTGGATACTTAAATGTAACTGAGAGGATGCATAAATTGATATATGTGTCTAAATAATTAGTAGTGTTATATGCAATAAAATTATTTATAACTGTTTTGTTTTCTTCATTCTAAAAATAAATAAAATATTATCCTCGGTATTGTGTCATTTTTCTGTGTATCGTAATACAGTAACCATCATTGCATCAATCAGCTTCAGTACCTGACTGTTCTCATGTTTTTGTTTCTGTTTATATAATCTATCTTCTCTCTGTGAGTACTTAACACTTTGTAAATTAAGGCCATCTTATTTGAAACTGTTGATGTTGGCTTTAATTGCAGTACAACTTGATCATCAATACACGTAATACTTTTCTTTTTGTGTATTGATTACCTGACCACGTGACTTTTACAACTGATGCGGTATTTATAGATAACATTGAGGAGGCCCGATGAAGGATATTGTTTTAAACCGTGTAAAATCTACTGAACAGTGATAACATTTTTCTTTGTACAATTTCCCAACCTGATTTAGAAAATAAGGAATAAATAAAAACATACTCAGTTGATAAATAATTTAATGAATAACAACATGATATTTTATGTAAGCATATAACAACAATAAAATGTCAGAAGAGCACAATGCTGACAAACACACGCAATAAATATTACAATGAGCACATTGAAAAGAAGCACAGATCACAGCACAAGATTAGAGTTCATTTAGTCTAATTAAAGATTTTACATTCATGAGCTTGCTAAATGCATTGTTCTGATAAACATGGCTGTTACGAACGGATTGCCATTTGCGGATAGCAGGAACAGGGTCAAAGTCTTTAACATCTACACCTACTAAGCTTATCCTCATAAGTTGATCTAAAGCGTCAATACCTAGACTACACCTTAGTCGATCATAATTCCCACGGCGGGACTTAACTTTACGTCGGACATCACCTCTTTCTCTATAACATCGGAAATTGTCTGAATAAATTCGGAGCAGGCATTGTTCTCTTGATATAATTTAGAAGTGATCACGGCACCATTTAACTTAGTTAAATCATTTATTGACTGAAATTTGTCCATTGGTTTTTCCTATATATTTTAGTAAATTTTCCCCTTGAGAGTACCCCAGTATTTAACACGATGTACAGTGTTAAATAAAATAATATATATCATACTTATTCATTTATAAATATCCTTATTTGAAGAATAACTTTTAAATATCAGGATACTTTTAAAACTGAATGCTCATTTAAAATAATATCTATAAAGCGTAATTAAATAGGATGTTGTTCCATACATGCTTACATGTTTGACCTCGTTTACCGGATTACCTTTATGTACATTGTTATGCATCATTAATTCTATTGATAAAGATAAGCTAAGGACACCTCATCAAAGGTAACAAACCTGTAATCAGTGAATGATTTATGGCTTCAATATAACTTATTGAAGGGATAATTGTTTGACAGCTTGTTGTTATTTAAATAAAAGAAAACGTGTTTTTTCTACTTTTTATTGATGTACACAAGCTAAAGACCAAGCCGTACATTTATGTACCCAGAGGATTAGACTAACTGAGACACTTCAAAGTATCTGAAATATGCTGCTTCTGTTTTATTAAACCCAATTATGACCGAAATATCTTTGTGAAATAGATTGCCACAATTATAAACTAAAATGCCCAAACGGACATGCCCAAAGCCCCAAACGGACATTTTTATCGATCGATAGTTGGTAAAAATTGAAATGACCGTTTCATGAAAATGCCTTGAATAACAAAATGTGGCACACCAATTCTATTTGACCGTTTGAGGCTGAGAGCAGCCGGTCTTTTTATGAAAGTTTCGGACAAGTCCGGAATATATGACCGTTTTGGAAGCCCTGCATTAGAGGTAAAAATGCATTTGATGAATTGGATTGTAACAAAGACTATCAAAATACAATACTTATCTGATATAAAACAAGAAGATGTGGTATGATTGCCAATGAGACAACTATCCACAAGTTCAAATGATGTGGATATAAGCAATTATAGGTCACTGGACAGCCTTCAACAATGAGAAAAACCCATACAGTCAGCTATAAAAGGCCCTGTCATGAAAAAAGTGAAGCAATTCAAAAGAGAAAACTAATGGCCTAATTTATATATAACAATGTAATTTATGAAAATCAAATATGACAGACATGAACCAACAACAACCACTGAATTACAGGCCCCTGTCTTGGGACAGGCACATTACGAATGTGGTAGGGTTAAACATGTTTGTGAGCTCTCAACCCTCCCCCTCATCTAGAACAGTAGGTTTTCCTGGCACAAAGAGTTAGATTTTTTTTTATTTTGTGAAGTTGTTGCCTACTATTACAAAGATGTCATTTCCTGGAGTTATGCCCCTTTAGAAAAAAAGAATTTGCTTAAACACTTCCATTAAAAACATGAATGCTTTATATGTTTATCCTGTGGATTTGAGATTAGCTTTCAGCTATTCTGATTTATGTTATATTAATATAAAAATTATTATATTTTAGCTGGGAGATGAGGAAGATCTTGATGATGTGCTGAAGTATCTTGAGCTTGAACAACATTTTAGTACCAATCCTGTCAAACGTAGGTGTATTTCATGTTATGTCTAGCTTTTCCTTTTTGATCAGAAAAAAATGACAATCTTCTAATTAAACTTGATTGAATTGTGACATTTTCATATATTTTTTTATATATTTTAATAGACTTCAATATATGCTGAAGAATACACCTCATAGCTCATTGTCAGCCTTTACTGGACTTTACATACATTCCCAGTAAAATTTAACATCAGGAAAGAAAAGTCTGACCCATCTAAGCGAAACTGATTTTGGAATGACATTGAAAAAGTTCAAGTGTCACAGATTCTCAAATTGCAATAAGGTCTATTGTATTCGAATAAGATTAAGCCCCTAACGGGAGGGATTGTGCTTGATTTTCATGTGATGACGACATAATCTTTTGATCAGTTTATTGAGGTCTGGAGCTGGCATGTCAGTAGTCCTTTGTTAATTTATGTTGATTGTTGTCATTATGCATAGTTTCTTCTGTTACCTATTTTAACATCGGACTCAGACTTCTTTTGAACTGAGTTTTACTGTGCATATTGCTGTGTTTGTTTATTCAACATTGGCTAGAGGTATAGGGGGAGGGTTGAGATCTCACTAAACATGTTAAACCCTGCCGCATTTTTGCGCCTGTCTCAAGTTAGCAACCTCTGGCCTTTGTTAGTCTTGTATTTTTTTGAAATTTTGGTTCATTTGTATATTTCGGAGTTTAGTATGACGTCCATTAGCTGAACTAGTATATGTTATTGTTTAGGGGCCAGCTGAAGTCCGGGTGCAGGATTTTTTGCTGTGTTGAAGTCCCATTGGTGGCCTTGGGCTGTTTTCTGCTCTTTGGTCGGGTTGTTGTCTCTTTGACTCAGTCCTTGTTTCCATTCTCAATTATATTGTATTCCAAAAAGATCAGACCAGATTTTTCAAATTTAGGCAACACAGGGCCTAAAGTTGAAATTTCTTATTCAGAAGTTGTGATCATTATTAACACATTTAGTGGTTATATTTCTGCAAGCCTGGATCATTCTTTGACATTTCGGACTTTTGTTATGACCAGATGTTAAAGATCACCCAACTACTCCAAAATTACCATATTTATTCACACTTCATATTTCAAATATTGTTCACCATTACTAGCCATCACAGAGGTTCCCATAAAATGTTGCCGTCATGAGAGAAAATGTCTGATGCACCAATGAAGTCAATAGTTCAAGTGTCACAAAATCTTGGTCAAGTGTTATTCCGAAATAGTGATAAGGTCTGTTGCTTCATATGCATAATATTTTCTGTTCTGATTTAAAGAAAAAATTTATCACAAATAAAAATTTCATGACCAAATCTTCTTTTGTATGACATTCATTATTAACTTTATTATTAATTTTCAGCTTCACAAAGGAACCAGAGGAGAATGTCAGGTATATGATAATTAATCTTCTTATTTATAGGTCTGGAATGATAAAACACAAATATTTTATAATAATAATCTTATATAATTTGCATATCTACAAATACATGAATGTGATTGGTCCTTTAAAATTTTCCCCTTGGTTTTACTTCAAGAGACCATGTTGCCAAAAATACTTTCGTAACCATTTTAACACTATGTTGATTTCACTGTAATATATCCATGCATGCAATACATATATAGATATAAGAAGATGTGGTATGAGTGCCAATGAGACAACTCTCCATCCAAGTCACAATTTGTAAAAAGTAAAGCATTATAGGTCAAAGTACAGCCTTCAATACAGAGCCTTGGCTCACGCCAAACAGCAAGCTATAAAGGGCCCAATAAATGACTAGTGTAAAACCATGAATGGAATCCTGGGATTCAGTTAAGTTCAAATTGAAGGCAAAAAGTACAAATTTTTGGATTGAGAACTATTAGGATTATAAACATTTTTTCTAGGGTTTATTAATTTGTAAACTGGGCCTGATTCACTAACTTTACACTTGGACTTTGTTCAGTTTGTGAGTTATTTAGCCCTGTTACACATCAACAACTTCAAGATAAAATCCTTATAATCCTATAATAAATACATACATGATTCGAAGTATTGTAATTTTAATGTTTTACAAGGATGCTTATTCACCAGCACTGTTGCTGGATTTTTTTTCTGTGTTTTTCATCATGGTTTTTTCACTATGGAATTTTCTTATGTTGTTGATTAATAAAGCTTTTCTCTGTTCGAATGCACACATCCTTTATAATAGTTATATGATATTGGAAATCTCTTAAAACTTATGATTAATTCAAAATTAGACCTGACCTTGCAGTCATAAAAACTTAGAGCATGATTATCTTACTCAGACTCAGATATCAACCAATCAGAACACTGGATTTGGTGTTTCGAGCACAAATTTTGTACTCTGAGTACTTAGTTAAGTTTTATGACCTAGAACATTGGCTTGTCTCCTTCTTTCACAGTTAGATTATAAGACAGAAAAAATGAAAGATACAGTAATTTAACATAAACTAGCACATTAATTTTGTTCTTTTTTCAGTGTTTACAGAGAAGAAAAATGAAATTTACATTCTTAGTCCTAAGAAGGCTTATAACATCTGTGAGTTTACCATAATCTTTTTTTTTGGGAAATAATGTTTACTAATTATGCATATTTGTATATAGACTTACTATTGTCAGAACTATTATGGAAGCACAAGATATGATGGTTTATTTACCACTAAAACTCTGCTATAAACACTGAAATGTTTAGTAGACAAAACTGATACATAAGATACAATGACAAACAATTAAAAGGTCCCTGACATGAATATATGGAAGAATTTAGAAACACTTTTTATATAGATATTATATTTGCAATCAACCTATTTTAGAAAAAAATATAATGATTACTGTGGTTTATTTATTTTTTTGGACACCAATTTTTGGTATTAAAGGGAAATTTGTAATTTCATTGATTTTTGATTTCTTGGTTTCGACAAAGTCTGCATAAAAACCAATAGAAAATTTATACTTTGTTGAACATTTAGATTTGTAGTTCACCTACTGTGGATTCATTTATTTCGTGGGTACCAATTTTCGTGGATTGAGTAAAACCTGCATTTTCGTGGATATATGATTTCGTTTTTTTTTTTTGCCAAAGTCTGCATACAACCCTATATAAAATTAGCAATTCGTTGAACATTTAAATTCATGGTTCACCTGTACCAACAAAATCCACGAAAATTGGAATCCAACAAATAATAATGAATCCACAGTAAACAAACAAAATCCCCGAAGTTTTTATTAATGTATGCAATATTTTGTAGCAATATTATTAGGACATCTACGGATGTCAATAGATCAGATGAAACAAGCTTTATATCTGATGGATGAGGAAATTCTTACTCCAGATTTACTCAAACAGTTACTCACTTTTACTCCAAATAAACAAGAGGTAAGAAAACTTTACTCAAAGATTTACTCAATCTTTACCCTTGATTTGTGAATAGATACTCACAGCTTCACATAAGACTAACTTCTGGATACCATTTGAGTTTACAATGCTAAAAAAAAGTTTGAAGGAACTATATCTTGAATCATCTGCATAATAAAATTTATATTATGGGTTGGCAAACTCTTTATTATTTATTAACTGCCACCAATTATTGAGTCAACAGATTAATGTTTGATATTTTTTTGCCTGACAGAAAAGCTGTAGCAACACATAGGGATAAATTCTTAGATCTTGCGTTGTTAAGGTTACACTTTATGTTAATCTGCAACTCCTAGTAAATTGCTCAGCAGAATTCAAACAAACTTGCAAAAATATTTCTATAAGACATGAAGCACTACACCTGCTATTTTTAAAAAGTAGTTTTTGCCTTTAATGCCAAACTCCCAAGGAATAGCTATCATATCGTAATCATATGTTTACATATTTTCATAATTTTCTCAAACCTGTAATAATCATTCAAGCAGTTAACCAACCTATAGAATTATCATTGCTAACTCTAATTTATTTGATTTATTTCTATTTATAGATGGAGAAATATGATACTTTCAATGGCGATATTGAGGAATTAAGTTTACCAGATAGATTTGCTTATGAGGTACTGTTATAGACGGCCTTTGCTGAATTTGGCCCTTCTTTTTATGTTCCTTTTTAGTCATTTAGCCCCTAGCATTTCTATGTACTTATACATTCCTCTCTTTCCAATGTTTGCATTTGAGCATTACTGATGGAGGTTTTTTCAGAAAAGTGCTTTCGATGCATAAAATTTAAAAGTCTAACACTCTTCTATTGGATGTTCTTAGATATTCATTTGGGAGATTCTATGATTGCTGCCCCAAAAAAAGGAGAACCTCAACAGCATATCTTTAGATCACTAGATGATCAGTTTTAAGCAATGACCCTTTCAAACGAGGCCTAATGTTATCCAGTTGCAGTTTTAAATGTCTGCCACTTTTACAGGTCCATTCCTTATCAATTCTTATTATTGATGCATTGATTTGTTAACTTAGCTTGATCCTGAAATATGCATGAAATATTTACCACTGGATATAAAGCAACCAGCACTTGGTCAATCATCCTCTTAGCACTGATCATCTAGGATGACATGTCTGCCAGTGGACAGTGTAAGCATGTAACCAGCATGTTAAACATCTTTTAAAAGTAAAATGTCCATACAAAATGTGTGACATTGACTTACATTTTGACAAGTTTTGCATTCAGATTCAGAAAAAAAGAAGATAACAAAAATTTTGGCCAGATCATACTTTTTAGATAGTAATAAATAACTGACCTGATTGATTGAGTGAGGTTATACATCTATGTACTTTTTCAATTCTTTTTTGGATTGAAATATTTGGGATAGAAGTAAAACAACAATAGAATGAACTTATTCTCAACTGCTGCTTTTCTTGATCTCTTTTCAGATGAGTCGTGTTCCTGGCTATGAACAAAGGTTGAAATCCATTTTATTTAAAGCAAATTTCCAGGAGAAAATAGATGACATGAAAGAGGTAATATTCAAATATACTTAAATTTGAGAGTTCATTATGTAGGATTTGGTTATAAGCCCTCTCTATATATACTGCAAAAGCATATGATATGTCTGTAGAAATATTTGCTCAATTGTCAAGTACAAATTTCTTTTGATGTCCCCTGGACGATCACTTTAATAGTGTCCATTAATCACTGTTATGTAGTCCAGCATTATGCCATTAACTTTATAAAAAATATTTTCCTCTTGAACTACTAGGTCCATCAACTCCAATGGACACTGTTTCTTAAAAAAGAACAGAGTGGTCATCATATGTTCCCAGGTTTACATCTTGAAAATTGTAAGAGATAGAGTAAAAACTGTCACATCAAAAACATCAAAATGCAATCGTCTAGCTATCAATGTTTCTGTATTTTAGATATTGTCTGTTGATCCCCTATGGGGTTATTGCCCTTAAATAAATGATGATTTTACCTTCTTTTTTTTTTTTCATTTTAATGCCCCCGCTGTAGGCAACGGGGGCATTAAGTGTTACCCTTGACCATCTGTATTTCTATCCTTCCGTCCTTCAGTCTTTCTGTCTGTCCCATTTTCATGTCAACACTCTAACTTAAGTTTGCCTCATGCGAATTTTATGAAACTCATACACAATGGTAAGAACTAAAACTAACAGACAGAGTTTGAATTAGGGCAGTGAGTCATCAACCCTTCTAGAGTCATGTTCCTTTATAACTTGAAAAATATCAATTGTTTTCGTTTCAACTCTCTAACTTAAGTTTGTCTCATCCAAATTTTATGAAACTCCTACACAATGCTAAAAACTACAACATGCAGACAGATTTCGATTTTGGGTTATGAGTCATTTACTGTTCTAGAGTTATGCCCCTTTTTCACTTGGACACAATTGCAAAGCTTGAGCGGGGGTTTGTGTCCTCAGACACATTCTTCTTTTATTTTTGCTATTATCTTGAACACTATAAAAGCTAAGATTTAACTGTAAAGTGAAAAATAAGATCAACAAAAATATTAAACATAACCAAAGTGTTGGATGTGTTAACCAAGGATCTCTTTGAATGCCTGTATACTTTATAAAACTTAGTGGATTTTTTATGTTCAATTTGTGAATTTGTGTAGTTAATCATATCTCCTTGACATCTGATATAAGCAATCTTGTTCCATTTTATGTTATCATTTTCATTAAATATCCAAAAAGGTTCAAAGGGTATGTATAACTTCTTCAAACCAAACTAACATAGGTGTTGTAGAAGAGTGATGTGGGATGTTTTATTTTAAAAATATATTTACTTGGGATGAGAAACAAAATTGCATTATGACAAATAAAGTATTAAAAAGATACTGAGCTGTATTTTTTTCAATACAGACAGGTAATAGCATATTACATATGTTTCTATTATAACCAAAATGATGCATGTTTAGCAATTTTCTTGAAACTGGTTAGTTCAGTTTTATTTTTTTTCAGTGTTAATTAATTGAATAACTTGTTTTATTTTGAAATCTTGATTTCTGATGTTGAACAGCTTGCTTCATATGATTGACCATTTGTTCTCTCGATTGACATCGATTCCATTTGATGAAAGATGGTTTCAGTGCCTGATATTTTGATTGATTGATTTTTTTTTAAAACACACCTTTCGGCACTCTTGACTATATATTTTTTATTGGTGGAGGAAACTGGAGAGAACCACCATCCTTTAGCAGGACTACTTGCAATCCTATTCAATCTAGAAAGGATTTGAATGTACAACCTCAGTGTTGACACTTGATATTTTGAATAATTACTCTTGATAAAATTCAAAAAAAGAATTTACAATTTGCAAGGAAGGAAATTTGTTGACACATGTATGGTTTTGGTTATACCAGTAACTGACAAATTAAGAGACTGCAAAATTTGTAAAGAAAAACCAGATGCTTAATAGAGGTGAACTGTATAGTAGGTTATATACTAACTGAAAGCTCATTTTTATCTTGCTTGATTTGTTCCTATATATTCATTTTGCAATGTAGAATTTTTACTTTCTTTCTTAGGTAGATTTAAAAGCATGTATTACTAAATAGAACTATAAAATATTAGATGTATATTTATATTTTTTCTGTAATGTCTAGTATTTTGGTGATTCCTGATTTATCCTGATATTCCTATATGACCTCTTACAATCCTATCTTTTCCACACTAAGATGTTACAAGGAAACATGTAACTATTTTTCCAATGAATTTCCAACAACAATAATTATTGATACTGCATGCTTGACATGGTACAGGGTTCTAACAATTGAGTTAATTCATTTGAGACTTAAATGTTTGCTCAGATTAGTTCAAAATGACTGAAATAAAATATGTTATACAGTGTATCAACTTGACAAACCTACTTGCCCTTGGTTTATTCTTTTGATTTGTTTCACATTTTGACTTACCTGGGCCTTTAATATTATACTGTGGGTGTGTTCATTGTTGAAGGCCATGTAGTGCCATATAGTGGTTTACATCCACATCTGTTGGTCTCTTGTGGATAGTTGTCTTATTGGCAATCATACCTTACCTTCTTATTTATGCTATTGATTAAAATAGAAGATCTTGTGTATATGTCAATGTGACAGCGATCCAACAAAAAACTGTCCAATTGATACTGTGGATTCATTATTTTACGTTGGAAACCATTTTTTGTGGATTTCGTGGGTACAGGGGAACCACGAATTTAAATGTTCAACGAATTGTAAATTTTCTATAGAAATCTCTGCTCATTTTCGCAATACCACAAAATCAAATATCCACGAAAATGCAAGTTTTCCTCAATCCACGATAATTGGTACCCACAAAAATAAATGAATCCACAGTAGCTAGAGGATAACATCATACAGCCTTCAACAATAGACAAGTGTCAAAACAATATGTCAACCTCTAAATCATTCAGAGTCTATTAAAGTTTACAATTCTAAATGTTTATACTGCTATTTTAATCATTTATTAGCAGTAAACAATATTTGTTTGTAAAAGAAAACTTCACAGAATGTTTATGGTTCTAATATATTTCTTACATTTCAGAGTTTACTTTGTATAAGGAAAGCATCATTACAGCTGAGAAACAGTAAAAGATTGACTAAAATATTAGAGGTAAATACTTAAAAAAAGGAAAGAGGTTATACAATATAGCTTGAAATTTAATACATTTATAATTCCTATTCATATAGGAAGACATGATTTTTAAAACAAATTCTAAGATTATCTTCTCAAAATCTCTAATAATGAAACATGCAAGGCTTTCTGTTTAAGTGGTTTATGTAGTTGTAATCTACAATTATATAGATGACACTATAACACAGCAACTGAGATCTGACATCAGAATTAGTGAATAATGGCTATTGATCTATTGATCTATAGTGATTGAAAGACTATATGTCAAAGTTTGGTAGTTTTCCTTTTGATTATTCCATGTTCCATGTTCTATCATGTTTCTATGAAAATAGCCACCATAAAAAAATAGAAAGTTGCATTAAATTCCATCAAAGAAACAAATAACAAATGTCAAAGTCAAGTGGCATAGATCTTATCAAAGAACAAACTATAACATGCAATGGAAATAACTTTACATGTAGAATCTATTAAGTATTTTATGAAATAAAGAGTCTCTTTTTCCTTTCTAAATTGTAAGTGTGAAATTACTTATAGAACTTTCCCCCTTCTACTCATGTCAGTACCATTGACCTCTGTTTATCAAGCATGGATAAAGAGAACATTACATTTTAAGATATGACAAATTCTGAAAAGGGCAACTTATTTTTTCCTCAACTTCATTAAACCTTATAGACTATTAAATACATTAATTCCCATATCCTTCAGAAAAAGTATCTTTAGTGTCATAGATCTGAAGTCTTATATATTTCCCAAGAGAAAATAAATCTGGAATCCCACTGAAATCCCAGCTGGAATTTTGATGGGATTCCAAGTGGGATCCCACCTAATTCCACCGGGATAAAATTTCGGGAATCCCGCCAAAAGTCCGGGAATTCCGATGTAAATCCCGGTTGAAATATACTGGGATCCCACTGGGATATTGTGGGATTTTGATTGGAATATACTGGGATTCTGATTGGGATCCCGCTCTTTTAGCGGGAATCCCGTACATCGGGAATCCCGGACTTTTGGCGGGATTCCCGAAATTTTATCCCAGTGGAAATATACTGGGATCCCAGTATATTTCCACTGGGATTTACATCGGGAATCCCGGACTTTTGGCGGGATTCCCGAAATGCTACGATTTTGCATTTTCTGAGGGAATATACACATTTATTACTCATTATAAGGTAGATGAATATTGCCCTTGTATCAAATCTGTCACGTATATATAAACATTGCGGCATGAATTACATTGTATTGGCCATGTTTAATATCTTATTTCAATGGCTGTCAAGTTCCCATTCAAAAAAAATGTACTTGTATTTAATGTCCTGAGATCCTTAAACTTCCATCAAAATTATAGATACTAGTACTACTAGCAAACTTGTTTGCCATTTTTAATGGCTGCTTATATTGTTAAATTACCCATTAATTAAATATGGTACTCACCCCACCCCTCCTCCCCATGTTCACTAACACCTTCAAGCATTTCATTGTCTTAATTGTATTTAGATACGCAGTTTTCACCATGGCTTAATGATGCTCGCTGTTCAGTTTCAAATATTATAATATTAAAAATGTGTGTCAGATATAAAGGATACATGTGAAGTTCTCCTCTCCTCCTTTCTGTAATTAAATTTGCTGTCTCTGTACTTCCAACTAGTATTGCTGAGTAAAGGTAACTGGAATCTGCATGCAATCCGTTTACTTTCAAAATTGGCAGCTCCATTTAATCATTTAATCCCCTAAAAGTATCAAAAAAATCCACAAAGAATCAATTGTTCTAGACATTTTGAAGCAATAAATTCAATAGAAATATTATTGCATGTTTATACAGTATACATTGGAAGCCAGTTGGAATCAAATTAATTACCCTCCCTCTTTTTTTATCCCCTGAAGATAAAAAACTAGCGACTTATTATTTTCACCAAATAACCATTCACACAATTCAATTAAATTTTTACATATCTACCAGTTATGCCTGTTATGTGACAACAAGATTATTCAATGTTGTTAAAAATAAATATATTTTTCAGTTTATGCAGGAACATATATATATTAGATATATCTGCATGTTCCCAGGTTTATGCTTTCAGATTTTCTGATGTTGATTTGCTAAAAAAAAAACCATAAAAAAATCATAGTTCCTCAATAAATTATATTTTATAATCTCATTATATACACATGTTAAATTAAATTTTTAATGCACTTATCTGAAAACATCTTCACCATCACATGGAATCTTCTATTTTGCTACAGCGTAATCACATTTTGATGACGTTTTTATTGAGTACTCTAACGTCGAGGTGACAATCTCGCCCCATATTATATCGGCCAGAAGTTGATCCGTCCCCGTAACGGTATTATAAAAATAAATCAAGGGTGTCGTATAAAAGTATTTATTACTGGCCAGTTTTTAAAAATAGGAAAAAAAAACCTTTAATTTAATCGGCACAGGGTGCATGCGGATGAACTAGTGGCCGCATTATCTAGGACGGTATTTTCTAGGGTCGGACTGTTCAGTACAATTACTAAAAACCACGTGGTCATGACTTGTTTACATAAGTTGAGAACCAAGGTTTTACGATGTCGATCGTTGGCCTATCGTTGATCTGATAATTTTTCTATGTTATTTAAATGCCGGACAACAGGTAGAAAATCAGAAACGATCCAGCTTGTCTGGCAAAACAGCCGTTGGCGTTTCTCGGGCGCCCTTTCGTTTTTATCGCGAAAATCTCGGCATTTTTCTGACTTTGAAATACTGTCAAACTAAAATTTGTAATTCTTCCATCAACAGAAGTTCAGCTAGCTGTGTAAACTGTCAAATTAAGTGACCCATTAAGTGCAGGGCTTCACCTGACAGCTTTGGTGTCAAACACATTGTTAATTAACACAAATAACCTTTGCTTTATGTCATAAATAATTTGTGTATTTCAAAAATGTTTCAGTTACTTCCCCTTTTTTATCACCTTTTCACAATATATTCCTTAAATTTATTGGTTTTTTTTCTAAAAAAAAAAAAATAAAACAAATTGAATGCAAATGCATATCAGAATATTACTTTTAATTATTTTTAACCTGAAAACACTTCAAATATAAATATTTTGAAAATTATTTTTTTCATCTTTACTTCCATTAATTGATCTATCAAGTGCATTCAAATAATAATTCAAATTTTCATTGAAAGAGGACAACTTTTATTTTTAGAAGCAATTAGTGGGGGAGAGGCATTTAAAAAAGGGCATCCAAATTTTCAAAGCACCAGTTTTAAGTGGGGTCATTCAAAATATATTGATTTAAAAAGGAAAATTTACAAAATTTAGGTTTTTCACAGAAATCTATAACCAGGATATATTTTACATTTCCAGGATAATTTTTTTTAAATTCCACACAAAATTCTGGTTTATGTTTCCCTGTTTAAAGTAAGATGGGATCCCGGTTTCAGACAGTTATCCCAATGGGATCCCAGTTTCGTATATTTATCTTGCTTCAACTGGGATTGGATCCCAGCTTGAGACAGATATCCCAATGGGATCCCAGTTTCAGACATATATCCCGAATGGGATCCCAGTTTCAGATATTTATCCCGAATGGAATCCCGACTTCTGAGGCCCATCCCGGCTTATCCCGCTAATTTTACCGGGATTTGACTGGGATCCCGATAGATCCCGTTTTCATTTTCTCTTGGGAATTCAGAGAGAAAAGAAACATTAACACTACTTTGGAATGATAATTATCAGACATGTAAATTTAATGTATGATATTTTAGAAAGGATCAAATAGTTTTCTGATTTTTTTTTATAAAAATTATTTGCTCATCATTGAGTATGGTAATTATGCTTTAATTTCTAGATGATACTTGCCATGGGTAATTATATGAACAAAGGAAATCAACGAGTTGGTGAAGCTGCAGGATTCAAGATCTCATTTATATCTCAGGTTAGTCAAAAATATTATTTCAGGTAAATAGACACTGGTAAACTGAGTATTGTTGGAAATATGGCCATCTTGGATATTTTACTTACTTTATTTGTGTTTATCAAATGTTGTTTTGTCAAACAAAGAATTCATGAATATTATCCGAGTTTGCAATTTCTAAAAAGGTATTTTAAGAAATACATCAGATTTGCAGATTTATATCAACAAAAAAATCCATGATTTTGCAAGGGGAGATAATTTAGACAAATGTTTGGTATTCAGGGGGAGATAAGTATATTACTGCAATCACTTGTTTGTAGGAATATATGATATCCATGCTTTTTAGCTCTCCTGGCCCAAAAGGGCCAAGTGAGCTTTTCTCATTACTTGGCATCCATCGTCTGTCATCGTCGTCATCCGTTAACTTTTTCAAAAATCTTCTCCTCTGAAACTACTGGGCCAAATAAAACCAAACTTGGCCTAAATCATCCTTAATGTATCTGATGACCCTGCCCATCAACAAAGATGGCTGCCATGACTAAAAATAGAACATGGGGGTAAAAAGCACTTTTTGGCTTATATCTCTAAAACTAAAGCATTAAGAGCAAATCTGACATTGGGGTAAAATGTTCATTAGGTCAAGATCTATCTGCCCTCAAATTTTCAGACGCATCAGACAACCTGTTGTTGGGTTGCTGCCCCTGAATTGGTAATTTAAAGGAAATTTTGCAGTTTTTGGTTATTATCTTGAATATTATAATAGATAGAGATAAACTGTAAACAACAAAATTGTTCAGCAAAGTAAGACCTACAAATAAGTCAACATGACCAAAATTGTCAATTGACCCCATAAGGAGTTATTGCCCTTTAAAGTCAATTTTTCACAATTTTTTCGTAAATTTTTGTAATTTTTTACAAAAATCTTCTCCTCTGAAACTACTTGGCCAAATTAAACCAAACTTAGCCTAAATCATCCTTATGGTATCTAGTTTTAAAAAATGTATCCGATTACCCTGTCATCCAACCAACATGGCCACCATGGCTAAAAATAGAACATAGGGGTTTACTATAGAAGTCTATGGGAAAATTGTTAAAAAAACAATTTCATTTTCAAATGGTCACAACTTGAAAGCTAATTAACTATTGTAAGATAACAATGGGATGACCTGCTTTAAATTTAACTACTGGGCCAAATTAAACCATACTTGGTCTCAATCATTATTAGGGTATCTAATACTATTTATTATGATTTTAACCTTATTTTACATGATTTCCAAAACCACAGTAGATACAGGTGAGCGACACATGCTCTTGAGAGCCTCTAGTTCATACTGACTATATTTCAGTTTTCAGGTTATGGATTCGATGAATAATTGTTACTCATCAGAGTTATTGAAAAGTTTTATTTATATCCATGTATATTCCATTTTTGAAATATATAGATGTGGTAAATAAAAACTCCCTAAACTTTGATGATGATTCCTAAAGTTAAATAAACTAATTATGCTTTCAGTAAATGTCTTTTGTCTTAATACATTAATGCTTTATGAATCTACTGATATCTTTGATTCTGTTATTTACCTCACATGAATCTGTTGTTTTAAAAGAAGAATCGTTTGCAACAGGATATTAACATTATACTGAGTGAACTGTTGAAATAATTTTTTTTGTTTATCCTTCTTTTCATGGTCTCAGAAAAATGCTCTACTTTCATGATAAGTCTGTATATCTGATATTAAAAGCCTTTGATAATTTCTATATACTGTAAATTCAGTCATTATTGCGTCCATTTATTATCGAGATGTTTGAAGAATGGACTAAATTGTGAGATTAATTATTGCAATTCCAGGAAAATCTGGATACAGATATATGTATCAGATATAAAAATGTGAGTTCTTAGTATTCCGATACTCACTCAGCCGCATTATTTGCATTAATAAAAACCTTGCAAAACTTTCTGAATTTACAGTACATGTTAATAAGTTCCTTTAGAAAAGTTGACTTATAAAAGCACAATGAACTGTTATGTATATAGACACTTTATATTTTACAGTTAGAAGTAACCAAGACAAGTGATAATAAGACAACATTTTTACATGTCCTTGCTAATGCTGTGTATGTAAAGTTTCCTGAAGTTTTAGCTGTTGGAGAAGAACTGAGTAGTATACCTGAAGCTGCTAAAGGTAAGGTTTTAAATGGTTTTTATACGCCCGTCAAATTTTTTATGTCCGTCCGTCTGTCTGTCCCTCTGTCTGTCTGTCTGTCTGTCTGTCTGTCCGGCGTAAACATGTCGCACCGTAACTTGAGAATGACTTATCCAAATTTCATGAAACTTAAGATAGTTGTTTCTTATGATGGTCGAACGATCTGTATACTTTTTGGTGAAAATAAGATTAAAACTTTTTGAGTTACGGGACTTAGTAACTAAAACAGGTGTGTGTTTTTTTTCACATGTCGCGCCGTATCTCTATTTATGATTATTGCTTAAAACTTTACACACTTCTTAGTTATATTAATCTTAAGATCTGTATACTTTTTGGTGATGATTCAAAATTTTATTTTAGAGATATTGAGTATTTTGTTAAAAAAGGGGGAGGGGTTTTTCACATGTCGCGCCGTATCTCAAAAACTATTTATGATTATTGCTTAAAACTTGACACACTTCTTAGTTATATTAACTTTAAGATCTGTATACTTTTTGGTGATGATTCAAAATTTTATTTTTGAGTTATTGAGTATTTTGTAAAAAAAGGGGGAGGGATTTTTCACATGTCGCGCCGTATCTCAAAAACGATTTATGATTATTGCTTAAAATTTTACACACTTCTTAGTTATTTTAATCTAAAGATCTGTATACTTTTTGGTTTTGATTCAAAATTTTATTTTTGAGATATTGATTTTTTTTTTTTAAAAGGGGGTTTTCACATGTCGCGCCGTATCTCAAAAACGATTTATGATTATTGCTTAAAATTTTACACACTTCTTAGTTATATTAATCTAAAGATCTGTATACTTTTTGGTTTTGATTCAAAATTTTATTTTACAGATATTGAGTTTTTTGTAAAAAAAAAGGAGGGGTTTTCGCATGTCACGCGGTATGTCAGAAACTATTTATGCTTATTGCATAAAAATTCACACAAGACGACGGGCGTATCATGCGCTCATGGCGCAGCTGATTATTATTTTTGGCTATCACCTTTTTCATAGAGATTCTGTCAAAACTGGCATTTTTTTAAAAGATATTCAATATTACAAGATGAAATTTATATGGATAATAAGGTTTTCTTACCAAATATCTGATTTCTACTTATTGAATATCAAACGATTATTGGTAAAATTATTAGGTAATGATACTTATGAAAATAAGGAGATGTGGTATGTTTGCCAATGAGACAACTACTAATTTGTATGCTTCAGGTAAGAAAAAAATCTATTTTTATTAAAATATTTCAAAAGCAGGAAATACGAAAGTTAGATGAGTGATTAGTTGGTATTGGTATATATGTTTACTATCCCCCCTCCTACTAAAAAAAAATCCACAAACATACAAATTCTAAAAAACTTCATTTATGAAGCAATCTAGTTATAAAAAAAACCAAATTAGTAAGATGAAAAAAGGAAGAAAAATTACGAAAGTTATGTAAAAAGTGCTGTGCCTCTGTCTTTCAGAAAATGTGACAATATGCAAATTTGTATAATAATAGCTTTCAAATAAAAATTCCCTGTTTTTGTTATGTTCATTGTAGTATCTGATATAATGGTAAATCAGGAAATCCAAGAACTAAGAAAAGTGTTACAGGTTAGTAAAACAGTTTTGTAGATCAGACGAATGTATGCCATAAAATATAGGTGCACAATTTGTTTTTTAGGGGGGAGGGAATATGCAACATGTATTGATGTTGACTTTGCACTGAGAAATTTTCATGCTATATCTTTTTTCATCAAGTTGAAAATTAATCTCTTATCACACAGTTGCTTTAACACACATTTTCTGATTTATGTTGCATACATTTTTTTTGTGGATAATTCAAGTTTTCATAAATAATTAGTCGCTCCATAAAAAAGCTTTAGTGGTATAGATATGTCTTCCATTGTGGTTTTAGTTTATAATGAAGTAATGATTTGCATCAGCGACAATGGTAGCATTTTTGGGTTCTGGGTTTTCATTATAAACATTCCATTGGGACAATATGTCAAAATCTGAATTTTCAACACCTTTGGGTGTGAAGAAATCAGCAAAATATATATGGTGTTATAACTTTTTTATAGAAAAATGGCATTTTTTAAGGGTACTCTATGGTTCCAGAATTTTTGAAGTAGAATGAATGAAGAACACTCCTTGCTTAGTTTTGCACATAAAATTTTGCTCATCACAAACCGTTTCCTCGCTAATTTCTCGCTATTTCTACAGCAATAGCCAACATTCATTTCTCACTATTTTAATTTTCTTTTCCAATTAACAGGGCAGCAAAAAATTAAGGGCATACGATACAGTTACAGGGGAGGTAATGACGTTGCTAACGTAAAATGTTATTTTGGCGACGTCAAACTGTGACATATCGGGAAAAGATGTATTTTTCGACTGATTTTTATCATTCAAACTGATTTAACTTGAAAACGAGTTCATGGACCCCTCTTTTTTAAAATGACATTCGGTTTGATTACGTATGAAGATTTTTTGTACCAATTTTCATGAAAAAGTCAATAATGCAATTTTTTAAAATTTGATAAATATACAGCAAAAACTGACGCTTTTTTTCTACATTCATGAACATTTGATGAATTTGAGTTATTTCTAAACAAAAGATTTCTTAACTTTATAGGATACTTATATAAAACAGAAATTACAAATAATTTAACAAAAAACAGCTTGTGTTTATCTTTAAAAACAAAAAAGTTATGCATTTCTGTCGGAAGGAAAAATACGTCCACAAATCCGAATTTTGAGCAAATATCAGAAATTTCGAACTCATTTTACTCAAAAAGTAGCACATGAAGGTACATTTTTTATTACATATTTGATTTAATCAGGTAAAAAATAGCCTATTTGCAAATTTTCATCAAATTTTCATTATGGGATCAAAACTGTATCGTATGCCCTTAACTTACTTCTAGCTATCATCGGGTGTAAAAACTAGCTTTATTTACTTCAATTTGACCTATAAGAGATAAATTAGTTAGTATTTTTCTTTTTTACTCAATACCTTTATCTACAGGAAATATCCAATACATTGGAGAAGTATGGTTCTCAAAAGACAAGAATTGGTGTAAATGACAGATTCCAGGATGTAATGGGTGTATCCTTTATTATAGTATTGTTATTGAGCTTGGATTTATATTGTCCTGTATTGTGACTTAGATCACATCTATATAAAAGAGAAATTCTGAAAAGATTTGTATGAGATAATCATCACAGAAAATAATGCAAAAAGGGCTAAATCCCTCAACATTTTTTTTTTTATAGCATCATTTGGTCTCTGGTGGAGAGTTGTCTCATTGGCAATCATGCCACATCTTCTTATATTTTTATTTACTTATTTGATTTACATATTGTTGTTCTACTGCTAATAGATATGAGTAAAAACCTCATGTTTAACTTCAGGTTCAGGATGAACCATGTAAGATTGGTTTTGATTGGGGTTTTATTGCTATAAATTTATAAACAAGAGAATAATGACCCCAAATAATTACTTAAAGGTAATAATAAAACCCAAAATTTAAGAATTAAGAAAAATGCAATGAACAAATTATGAGTACAGAAAAATAGGGCAAAATGATTCATCACAGATTAGATAGACTCTCACGTTTTATATAAAATTTATGTATTATTGTTAAAAATATAATTTTCTTCAAAAAAATTCTTCACATTATACAGAAATTATTAGACCCAGTTTAAGACATTTCTTGATTCACATGGCTTAGCAATTCAAACAAGGTAAAATGATGAACATTTTCCATTTAGAGGCCCAACCTGGTAAAATATGAAAGATTAGAATAAGCGCTATGAACATTTTCAGTTCAAATGTAGGGCTTAGCCTAAAATAAGTAACCTGGGCCCCCCTTGTTTATCTTTTTACCATAAAACATATAATAATTTCCTTGACTCAGGTTCCAGCATTTTATATCAGAAGCATCAGATGAGGTCCAAGCTCTGTTCAGACTTCAGGCTAATGCAATGGAAGATTTCCACCATGTTGTTCAATACTTTGGGGAAGATCCCAAGAATATTACTACAACAGAATTCTTTGGTATTTTTGCAGATTTTATAATAAAATTTGAGGTAAGTTTTTTATAGTTTATATAAAAAGAGAATGCTGAATTATTTAGATTCAATAGACTTTTGATGTAATATCATAATCACATTTCAACATTTCATTCAAAAAGTTTGTTAATGCTCTTATTCAAATAAAGATTCAATATCTTTTATAATAAATATAGGGCATTCAACTATATACTTTTTTTAAATTTAGCCCAACAATATTGGAACTGCAATCTAGCAAATTTATATCATTCTCTCAGTGTCATTCAAACTTATTATACCCCACGCAAAGAGTTGCAGAGGTTATAATGTTTTTGACCCGTCCATCCGTCTGTCCGTCCGTCAGTCCATTAGTCCGTCAGTCCGTCAGTCCTGTGTCTTGTCATCACAACTCCTCTCAAACCACACAACAGAATTTCACGAAACCTTTTTAGATAATAAGGACTTACTATGTAGTTGTGCATATTGACAGGAAATTACGATTCAATTTTTTTTCTAGGAGATACGCCCCTTTGAACTTATTTACTTTAATGTACTACTGCAACAGTTTGTCATCTCAACTCCTCTGAAACCACACAACAAAATTTCATGAAACTTTGTAGATAATTAGGACATACTACGTAGATGTGCATATCGACAGAAAATTACGATTCAATTTTTTTTCCAGGAGTTACGCCCCTTTGAACTTATTTGCCTAATATACTACTGCAACCTTTTGTCATCACAACTCCTCTCAAACCACACAACAGAATTTCATGAAACCTTTTCAGATAATAAGGACATACTACATAGATGTGCATATCGACAGGAAATTACGATTCAATTTTTTTTCTAGGAGTTACGCCCCTTTGAACTTATTTGCTTCAATATACCTCTGCAACAGTTTGTCATCGCAACTCCTCTGAAACCACACAACAGAAATTCATGAAACTTTGTAGATAATAAGGACATACTAGGTAGATGTGCATATCGACAGGAAATTATGATTCAATTTTTTTTCTAGGAGTTACGCCCCTTTGAACTTATTTGCTTCAATATACCTTTGCAACAGTTTGTCATCGCAACTCCCCTGAAACCACACAACAGAATTTCATGAAACTTTGTAGATAATAAGGACATACTATGTAGATGTGCATATCGACAGGAAATTATGATTCAATTTTTTTTCTTACAGTTATTTTATTTCTCCAGTGACAATGTGGGGACGTGGGGTATGTGAGCGCGCTCACTAAGGTTCTTTAAATAATTGTAAAAAAAAATCCCCCTTCCCAAATGTAGAAATAAATAATGGCGTAATATTTATTTTCTTCCAGAAAGCACATAGATATAATTTGATGTACAAAAGACATTGACAGAAAATACTTGGGTATTTAAAGGCAGCATCTCCAATAAATGATGGAAGCAGAAGAAAACAATTTAAAATGAACTACCAAATTTTTTACTATGGTTTAATAAGATAACAAAAAATCTTAGAAACAAGAATTTGACTTCTGTATGATTATCCACAGTTACTTGCTCTTTGGTGATAATGATTTGATTTTTACTTGATTTAGTTAATAAAGATCATAAAAAATTGTATTTGATATATTGTACATAAGATATTTAACAGTTAAAATGTACCTTTATTTCATTAAGAGTACACTACATGAAAATCACATTCATTCCTCACATGTATTTGTGTATAGAATGTAGGCACATCAACTAAATATTCAAATTTTCTAATAATTGCTAGTTTTGGTATATTTCAATAGCTTTCTTCATCAATAAAGTTATGTTAAACTTTCAGTTTTTTGGTACACAAGAAAATGTCAAATTATTCAAGCCTAAATTTTGTATTACAATCCAAATTTGTTACCAAAGGGAGATAATTCACAATTTAAAACTGATTATACTTTTCACTATTTTTGTTTTAATAATGAATACAGGTCTAGTTAACATTTTACCTTACCTTATCATTGCACATAACATTCTTTTCAATATCACCTCATACTGAAGAAACAATTTTCATAAAACTTACACCATTATCTTTTTACCAAGAATTTTTGAGTTATTTCCCTTAGTTGATATGCCTATATTATTGTTATTATTGATGATATTTTTTTGTCCATTTGAGAATGAGACAGCAATGATCTCTTTTTGATTAAATTAGATATACTTTTGTTTATTTGTTTGGTAACTTACTAACTATGTAATTTTACATCAGGAAATTACAATTCATTTACTGTGTTTTTTACTTATTTTTTAATCTACAAACTACATAAATTTAACTACATCCATTTGTAATGATCAATTAGTCCATAAACCTTTGGTAGTTTAGGCCATGCTTAATAGACATTTAGCTTTAGGCCATTTTATTAGGGTGCTCTATAGTAATCACTCTGTCTGTTTGTCTGTCCAACATCACTTCTATATTGTACCATAAGTTAAGATTGCATAACCAATTTCCATAATTGTTATGCATAGTGTTTATACCTATACAAGGAAGATCTCTATTGTTTTTGTTTATTTTTTAATTTTGACCAGGAAAAAACTCAAGTTTTATGAGACATCTTTTTGTGCTAGGATTTCAATAAAAATTGCTATATGTTTATAATATGCTGTTCCAATTTGGGGTAAAAACTAAGTTATTGCTGAAAATCGTAAATATTTCAAAACACGTTTGGTGCAAGGAATTCAACTTTCTGCTGGATAGTTGTCTCATTGGCAATCATACCACACCTTCTTATTTTTATATACAGTTGTAAAATTGTTAAAAAAAGTAATATGTTAGATTTTTATTTGAATGCAATTCAAAATGCTTAAAATTTAGAAATATTATCAAATGCAAAATGCTAACAACAGTGAAGTATTTCATTGAGATAACACCCTTACTTATCATAACTCTGAAATTTAATGTTATAAATGGACTTTGATCTCACTTTTTTGTTCCTTTTCATAGATTTTTGTCATTACTTGTGATCCTTAAATTCTGCATTCCTGTAGTTAGATTTATATAAAACATTGCTGTAAAAACATATTTCTTAATTTAATGTATAAAGTATGATAGTAAAAGGTATTTGCATAATTTTGATAAATTCATTGTTATGTTTTATATATTAAGTACCAAAAAAAAGGTTGTAATACATTTGTACATCAAAATATATATGAAGTTACATTTTAAAAATTTCCCTTGCCTTATTTTCCCCCATTTCTTTCTCTTATTTCTTAATGTAGCTACTGGTGCGTTACAACCTCTTAGTTATAAATGATCAAGGACTGTTGGTATTTGTAATGCATCTGACCTCTGCTGATATTTTGACTCCCTGTTTTAATATTCAGAGCTCAGTCCAAGTTTCTAAATTTTCTGCCACCACCTCAAGCAACAGTCAAATCCACAGCATTTTATTCTTATATATGAAAATACACTAATGAATGCATTATACATTGCTTATGTAATTGGTCTAATGATTGGGATTTATTTAATCTAGACTTGTAACTTCAAATACGAAAAAAATTGAACATTATTTGCATTTTGTTCGTTTTTTTGAAAGTTTTTTACATACTTATCATGCATTATTGTTGTGTTACCTGTGTTATAATTAAATTGAATATGTACAAATACTTTAATAAAATCTTGATCACTATTCAAAAATATGTATATCCCCTAATGTCCATAAATGTAATTTTCCCTTGATTTCATTACTAAATAGTGTTTAAATAGCTATATTTTAAGCTCATTTGTGTTGATTAATTCCAAGAAAATTAACATCTGTGAAAGTTTTGATGGGGTGAAAGATGAAGAAGATACCAAAGAGGCATCAAAAATCATTAGTGAGGGGCGTCAGGATTGGGCCTTTATTTTTGCGGGAATTCCGGATCGGGCCTTTATTTCGCAGGAAGTCAGGATTTACACCTGTAGGGACTTTGGAAATAATGATTAATTTTATAGGATCTAGGAAAGAATACTTTATTTTTTTCGGGAATTCAGGATGACACCCCCTCCTACCGCCCCTCATTAGTCCAATATAAACAGACAACAATCATGGTTAAACAGAAAATCAATGAAAACGCAGACAACAATAATAAAACACTACACAGAAAACTGAAGGCCTAGCAACACGATCACAAACAAAAACCAGGGGTTAAATCAGGTGCCATAGAAGGGTAAGCAGGTCATGCTGCACTAGTGCCACCTAGTTTTTTAGGCTATGTTGCGTTTTTATTAGAGAATTTGTAAAAAGGTTTTAGTGTATTAAAAATGTGTTATTGAAATACAGTTGTTATAAAAAAAAACAGTTGTTATAGAATTACAGTTATTATAATGATTCTACTCAACATTGTTTCAATTTCTAGTCATTTAAAAGTGCAATAACATAAGCTATCATATGTGATAAATGTAGTAATATAGTATTTTGTACAAATCGCTATATTTACAATCATGTTTGTTTTAATGTCTCTATATTTACCACCATGTTTGATTTTTGTGTTTTGTTATAGTTATAAATGTGATAAAAATAAATATGTCAAGTCATTCTTTATTTGATTTAAATTGTATTACTGTTTTCCCTTGTGTGCACACTATTTTTAGAAAAAAAAATGATTATTAAGGTTAGATTGCTTAAGATTTGGTTGTTCATAGCTATCTATAGAAATAAGTTTGTCCAACTTGGTATTTCAGTCTTATTTGAATGGAAAGGAACTATTGCAATAATTCGATGCATAGTTATTCTATTTTGTTTCCTTATTCTTTGTATCTATCCATATGACATTCCCTTATGGTTGTGGCCTGTTATCTATAATTTCCTACTTAAAGTGATGTTTCTGGTAACACACTATATGAAGTGTGATATAAATAAGTGATACAAAAAATGATTAAATTGGTTGGCCTATCCTGCAAGTGGTATGAAATTGAGACATTTCCATTGTCTACTCAGAAGGGCAATGATGACTTTCAAGAACACAATGGACAACCTTTCCCCCTTGGCAACAGAGATTTGTGATTTCTTCAATAATATACAAAAAACTTGCATGTTACACCTGAAAAAATTCCTAATGTCAAGTTTGATTTTATTTTGAACAAAAAACTGGAAAACATGTGATGTTAATGTTTGACAACGGGAGCGGACTCATGATGTCACACAGTTTACATGTGAACACAGTTACAATGTTTCGCAGAGATTGTTTTTGACAAAAAAAGAATAGGTTTAACAACTTCAATCCTTAGGAAAAAAAAACATATTACATTTCACATATGAATAAAGTTATGAAAGGATTACTCCAACCAGACATAATACATACTAAGGTCAATATCAAGTTTTTAACAAGAGACTAGAGTAAATACATTATGTAAAGCCCTTAATGAGTCTGGGTCTACAAAATTAGGGTCTAATTAAACAGAGACTATCAAAGAACTGTCATCAACAAACTTTTCCAAATTACAATGTATCATTTTGGTTTGAAACAGATGACACCTATGTGGTTCGGTTGTTGTCTAATTGATGTACATTGTATATCCCAAATCTCCCAATTATTCACACCGAGGAGGTTCCTGACTTCGAACATGCACAAGAAAAAATGTAAGAGTGTCAAAAAGTTAATTATCTGGGATGCTAATTGGGAAGCAGTTACTTTGTAAACTATTTGTATAACTCTCATAATTTAGTAGGTAGAAGACCTAGATACTTCACATCTTTTATAAAGTTTATGTTCTGAAAATTTCCATCTGGCATATATCTGTGGTCCTTGACCTCGTTTTCAATGTTCAGCAGCTGGTTAAAAGGATTACGATAGTCTTGTTATTTTTATTATATGATCTCACTTTTTATGAAAAATAGAACTACTTTATTTAGTAGATAGAATCATTGCAAGGTATACATGTCTATCAGGCAGTTGATGGTTTACTTGACCTTGGCATTTTTTCATGGATCTGTTATCAATTTAATGTTAACTTGGTTGAATTGGGTCCTTTTATAAGACATGTTCACCTTATAATCATTCCATACATTGAATATTTTAACCTATTGCTTATATATAAATATGGTATCTGTGAAACACATATAACTACGAAAACTAAGCGTTGACCAATTAACAATAAAAATGAGGCCAAGGTCAAATGAACCCTGCCAGGTGAAAATGCATCATACAATCATTCCATGCATCGAATATAGTTGACCTTTCTTTATATAACTTATTTATCTAAGAAACTGACATAACCACACAACTCAACAATGAACCATGAAAATGAGGTCAAGGTCAGATGAACACTACAAGACAAAATGGGAAATCGAAACCTTGATTGATCTTAAGTTTGCAATTGGGCAGCAATTACCACACCTTGGTAACACCAAGACTTACATACAGATACCAAGTCAGCATCAAGAAAACCCATGTGTACTGCTTGAAACCAGACAGTAGATCCAACCAACAGATACCACTGCTATTGGGAACAAACACATTTTCCACCATTATAGAAACACTAAAGAATTGTATTGGATGTAGATTTCTACAGGAATGCAGCTTGACCACTCCATGGTACCTAGTACTCAGATATATTATACTCAGAGAAAACAGCAACCGTCTAGAAGTAATTCGAAGTGGAGAGATCAAGTCAATTACTGTACCGCCAAACTCATATGTCATAGTAACCGGGTACTTAGAAAAAGAAATACCATACAATGGTTCACTAGCTATAGTACAGTCATCACTTCTTGTAACTAAAAAATTCAGCGATTTAGATATGGAACCGACACTTATCAGCTAGAAACACAGAAACAATTGAACAGTGAATATCAGAATTTCCAACGTGAACCATAGGATACCACCAAGAGCAATTGTTTGTGAAATTCAACCAGTCACCATATAATCACCACAGCCGACAACTTCTGATGAGGAAACACAAACTGTAATGGATAAATTGGAATTCACTCAGATTGATCTTACTAATGAACAGTTTGACGACGGACGTGCACCTGTCCGTTCTTATATGGACATCTTTTCCAAGAGGGGTGAAGATACGGGTCACACTGACACAGAACAACACAGGATCGACCTTCTAGAAGAACCATATGAGATACTTCACATACCACCAACAGCATATGCTGAAAACATCGCACATTTAAGAAAACTATTAGATACAGGGATAATCTGGCTGACACAAAGTCCTTTTGCCTATAATGTGGTATAATAAGGGAGAAAACTCAAGCCAACGCCTGTGTGTGGATAACAGAAAACTTAACAAGGCAACAAAGAAGACAGCTATTCTCTTCCCCGAATAGACGAACCTTTTATTCCGTTGTAGACATGTAGCCAGATTACCATCAGATCGAGATCAACGAACCACACACAGAACAAACAGCCTTCACTGTCGGTCCGTTGGGATTCTTTGAGTACATCAAGATGCCGTTTGGTCTAACCAACAGACCAGAAATTTTTCATGAAGATTATAATTTTGCCTATTACAGAAAAGATTAAAGTAACAAATATTTATTGAAATGTTTTAGTCAGTCTTAAGAAAAATAAGACGTTACCTAGAGACCAATAACAAATAAAAAAGGAATAACAAACAACGCCATTACTAAGAGAAAAGAGACAAAAATATTTCATGGATCCCATTTACACAACAAGTGTTTATTTATGCGAATTCTTGAACGTTTTAAATCGGCACCTAACGGAATCAACCTAGAGTTTTAAGTTGAAAGAGATACGCCCTGAAATCGGTTCTAATATTGCAATGTATCAACAATCAAGAAGCGCTTAATTTTGCAAATACGTTAAAAGTAGTCTACAGGAGAACTTATATTACATGAGTGTCACCGTCGTATTTATGTGTATAATTTAATGTTGATTTGTCATTCATCAGTTCATTTATTTCATTCATTCCATTTTCTGTTTCATCATACTCATTATGACGTTTGACTGAGACTGACGACATTTCTAATACACGTCACTGCACAATTTCATATACACGTCACTACACACCTGAACGATTTAAATAGAATAAAATATAGTTGCACGCACGCGGGAAAATAAATGTACGCCTTATATATATAGATATTTAGTATTTCATTAACTGAATAACTGCCTTTCTGTGTGGATGCTTAAATGCTAAAGCAATATTTGCAGGTTAGTTAATTTTGTTATTTGAAAAGTTTTATTTACAGTTTCTCGATAGAATTTCATTCATTAAAAGTTATATGGAAATATTATGATAGTTTTATCATAAAAATCTACAATAAGATACTATACGGCTTTTCCGTACTTTTTACATAGTTTTATTGTAAGTTCAAAATTACTGAATTGCAGCTATAAATTGTCTTATTTGCAGTATTAATTCATGGCGTAATTTTGAAGTGTTTTGTTGAATTCATTTGTCCGTCAGTTCTTGTCTCTATTTAGTTTGTGGTTTTATATTTAGGTTATGAATGAATGTAATTGTTTTCCGAATTTGTTGAAAGATTTGTATAAAAATTATGTTGAAATAAATATGTATTTGCAGTTAATAAACGTGGAATCAAAGTCACTGTCTGATATTAGCCATCACGATAATTTGGTGTATGTCCGGTTCACTGTGACAAATGGAGCCTTCAGAGAGAGAGATGACCTAGTTTTGGTGCCACGGTTTTTATTAGTTTAGAGTTGTCGGAGAATCTGTCCGTACTTGAATTTATTTGGATAACAGTTCATCTAGATATCTACTCGGCGGCACGATAATCCAAAAGTATACAGCGCTGTTGAGGTATATAGTGAAAAAGTTGTAAACAATTCCCGGAGTTGGATTGAAAACATGTAAAGGCATATTGGTAATGAATGTTAAGAAAATATTCATATTTTGCGCAAACCAACGAATTGTATTAATTTGGTGAATGTTTAATTTTACACCGATAACAAAAGGAAATAGATTCATTCATTTATTTATTGTGTTGTGTCGATAACGTTCCAGTTGAGTAGCTACATAGTACATATTTTCGTTGTGTGTTTATAATCATCACAGATGTCAATTTCATTACACATTCCGCGGTGGATTCGACTGGTTTTGATATCAACGAAGTAAACAATAGTGTATTGAACTCAGACAGTATTTTATTAAATTGGAATTGATATTTAAATAGTTTAAAAATAACAATCATAATAGTTAACATTAATTACTAGAAATATTTGATTACAAGTATTATATATTCTTTATCTTGTTGAGTATTACATATATATATATTTTTAAGATGTCATAGTTTATCTTATTACTTATATTTTTCAGTTTGCATTTGTGTGTGCATTGTTGCATGAACACCTGGTCCTTGCACTATCAGATTTCACATGCACGTTAGATCATTTGACGGTAAGTTGACATTTTCATCATCATCATTTTCATTATTTGTCTTGTCTATCATATGTGTCTGTTTACGTTTTGTATTGTGTTCCGTTTTATACATTGAGTATTCTGCTTTGATTATGGCTGATGGAAACACATCTGTTACCGAACCCGAGGGTAACATTAAAGGTCATGAACCTAATATGACAGAGACTGATATTGCAAAA